AATTCCATTTTTTTCTATTCTGTTACAATGTTTTATTATAGATACAATAACATAACATCAACCCTAGAAAATAACATGCATCGATTATCCGTCAAAACAGATTCCTACTGGCGTAAGACGCGAAAATGTTTTGAGAATGGAGATGACTAAACTTTATGGATGATCATCCATTTGTCATCTCTAATCTCTACACCACCAGCTTCTAAAATGCCACTCAAACAAATGTTTTGAGAATATTGAATAGATCGCTCAAAACCATTGTTGACTCCAGGTGATTTGGGAAAAAGGTAAGAATGTCTCCTGGCAAGAATTATCAAATTCCAAAATATCCAGCAATTTTAGTCCTGGTAGTTTTCAATATTTTGACAATGATCAATTCTAATATTTTAAAATATGCATGTAACTCAATACAGAACATAGGTACACACTGTCATCAGATGGTATGTTCCTCCTGTATGCCTTTGTATGTTTAACAAGTGCAATGTATGAAGAAATAATGTTTTATTCCTCCAACATTCTACCAACGACAAAAGTCAAGAGTGTATTTAATTGTATGTCAACGGGTCACATATTTCAGAAATCACAAAAAGACGCTGCCGTCATGTTCTTGTTCCCGTTCAGTTGATGGACTGGCAATTGGAGAGCGCCGCTTGCCTAGAGTCAATACACGTGTTTATTCTTACGCTGATCTAACGTATTGAGAACAAATTGTCAATATTTTGATTGCAGCACTGAATTGAAGAATAAAACTTGAATGTTCCCTCCAACACAAATATTTTCGTGATGGAACATGTAAAATCGTGCTCAATAGCCCGCTGTCTGCCCCGATCTGTCTCTTAAGGGTGAGAACATGGGGTCATATCACTGAAAGTTTTAACCACGCTTTGTCCTGCGTGTGTTGACAATGATACGATCTATTGTGCTGACATGAACAACATCATATCATGTCTCAGTCCGAGACTGCTCTCCCCCTCCCACGCTCAGTCAGTGCCCCTCCCTCTCACACACAACTCCCTTTCCCCACGCGACCCCAAAGCAGAGATCTGGTTGTATGCATGATGTTAATTAATACGTCTACAAATGAAAGTCATTCAATTTCCAGGATGTCTAGATAAATCAAAAGGTAAAATATATGTTACATGTTTGGAGACTTTATCCAACAAATATTCGACGAGAAAGTTTCAGGGAGATTTTCTATATGTTGGTTATATAATTAAATATGTAATTCATACACATTTCTACGAATACGTTTTATACCACATACTCCATAAAACACACATGTAATGCATCTGTTTGTCGATGCATATACTAAACCAACACATTAGGATTATATTGATAAATATGCGTGTAACGGAATTGTTTTAGACATGCTGTATACATTGACATTGACACTGAAGCATCTATTTACCTGACACGCCTCTATCGATCTGAGTGAGTGAGTTAGTGAGTGAGTTTAGTTTTACGCCGCACTCAGCAATATTCCAGCTATATGGCGGCGGTCTGTAAATAATCGAGTCTGGACCAGACAATCCAGTGATCAACAGCATGAGCATCGATCTACGTAATTGGCCTCGGAACCGATGGCAAGTGTCCACAAAGTCAGGAGTCTGACCACCCGATCCCTATTAGTCGCCTCTTACGACAAGCATGGGTTACTGAAGTATCGATGTGAAGTAGACACTTCACGTGTAAATAGATTAATGAGACCCTTTGTACAACGAACTGTTTCACTATTTTAGTTTTATATGTCCGCATATGTTTCAGAAGCACCACATAGCTAGGGGCAAAGGAAATTAAGTGACTCAAGAACTCTTCTGCATGGTTTCATTGTTTAAAGATTTATTTTTTAAATAAACCATATGGTGTTTTTGAGTGGGGTATCCATGTTAACCCCGTCGTGACATCTCAGTGAGCTGGCACTATAAAACCGGCACCGGAACCAAGCAGACACCGACTCACACCTTATGTGCAATAATGATGTTAAACACCACTTCAACTCGCACACCTTACCTGAGCATCACTTTAGCATGTTCATGTTATCAACCACCGGTTTGACGAAACTGTTTACCTGTGACATAGCTGCAATATTTCAAACTGCGGCGTAATACAACACCCGATGACCAATAGAGCAGCCAATGAAGATAGCAAGTAGGAGTTTTTGTACTTGTATCAGTGCACAGTGAAATCAAACAATTCGCGAAACTTAAAACCTAACGGGAAACGCAGATCCTTCGACGAACATTGAGTATATATATACCTACTCGAAGCAAAATTCCAATCATTTAGCAGAAAGAGCATTTAATCCAGTTCAAGTACATAATAATCTGCTTCTTGAGAGATGAAATACGGTTTGTCATAGCAGACAGATCAAGTTCCGATATTCCGTGCTTTCCGAGTGAAAATATCTGAACTTGGAGGTCGACAAGGATATCGCCTTTCACCAACCTTTTTAGTTCTAATTTTCAAGGCGTGCGGTCCTTTTCCAATAAGCCATAATGTTTACGGATGATATCAGTCCGTGTTATATTTCCCATCTTCACACTTGTGGAACCTATATGAAGACACTCAGGCCAAGAAACGGAATTTTTTATCAGATTTTTCGAAAGTTTTTCTTATTAAAACCACCCACACGAATCATTTTTATACAAAGAACAACTTCAGTGTCGTTAAACCGTTGTTAGAGGTAAAATAGGTTTCTTTATTGATAACGGATATCACATTGTACCTAAGAACGATGGACTTTGTTTATTGTGTGTTATGGGAAGAGCATGTAGCCTATTTATACGGCCTTATGGCGTTTATATTAGGAAATAAGGTGAATAAACTTGGTAAGGTAAGGTGGATATAAACCAGCTGTGCCTCGGTGAGAGTAATGTGTATATCATTTCAGTTAATCCCCCACTCGATGGATTCCTACTGCGATAGATTACTCGATACAGAAGGGCGCGATCGTGCGAGACACGGATCGGATGGCAGTCCACTGCAGGTGACATTTTCGAAAACAGATCTTGACAAATTGCTGTTTATCTTAGATCGGATTATGTTTATAGTATTTTGTTTTACGTTTGCTCCATCTGACTGTCCGACAACGCTGGCTTAAGTGTGAAACGCGACGCCCTCGTCGGCACCGGGACGGAGGAATGTCGGATAATGAAGTGGCTTTGGTATGTTGGCATTGATGGCACTGCGGTGACAGTCGATACCCCTCCACAGCAGCAGTTAAGGAGGGGTCATGATACTGTGTCGTGTGTGTTTGCTCCGTGGATGTGACCTTATCTTACACGGGTGGTTGGGTAGTACGGTGGTTAAAGTATTTGTCGTCATTCTGAAGACCATGGTTTGATTCCCATCGTGCATTGGTGCAGTGGTGTCTCCAATAGCGATTTGTCTGGAGTATTATTAAAACCGACCAAAAGCATGCCTTATCACATATCTCACGGATGACTTTTGTTTGTTTCTTTGTTATTTACCGCTGCATTAGACAATAATGCAACTATAAGACTGCCTGTAAATAATATGCTCTGCCAGCAAACCACCACCTCTCCATCTCAGCGTAATAGCGACGTGCGTGTGCGCGTGTGCGCGTGTGCGTGTGCATGTGCATGTAGCTGGTTGTAATAACCCGGAATATTTTCGATTATATAACGCTAGCCAACTGTGATCCATACCTCCGTTTAACATGGATATATGCGAGTGCGTGCGTGTAGTTGCTTGTGCCAGCCCGGAATATTGTATGACTCTGCCAGAGATCGAACCACTGACCTTGGTTCTCCGACCAAACACTCTATCCACTGCACCATGACTATTGAAGTTTGTGTTATGTGTTTGTGTTATGTTATGAGTGTTATTTAATGTCACCATAGCAATATTCCAAAATACACAACTGAGAAACACAGAATGTGCTTCACAAAACATACCAACCCTCTTGGATCAGAAAGAAAGCTCTAACCACTGCATATACAGAGTTACAGATAACGTTTTGGGTCATTGCGTTATGTACACGCTTGTGTTAATCTCAATTGGGTATTTTAATTTTCCTTTGAGTAACCAAATAAATTGTACCTGTCTCACTCAAACTCAAATGGTATTTTGCCATTTTCTATTAATTGTAGAAATATACTTATATATAGTATGACCAGAAATTATTGAGAATTTTAGGAATATGTTTAATTGGATTTCTAGTATAAACAACCTTGACCAGCTATCAAGTTCTTGGTTTCATTCAAGAGAGACAACTCCGTTAACCCTTTTTCATTAGTTTGTGAAGAGTTATCCCCCTTTGTTTACTTGCTAGCAGACATTTTCAGTGATCCTCAGTATGGATGATTTAAAGAAGAGGAAGTTGATTTTAGAGTATTATAACAAGGACATCAGATCAGCTAAAATGTTTTCAAGTAGAACAGGCATCCCTTTGTCCACTGTTTATCGTGTTTTGAAAAATATTGCAAATGGATATGGCATATGGCATTGAGCACCAGGGAGGCGCAGGTAGGCCCAGAAAATTGACTGTCGGTGACAGGAAGCGGCTTGGTATTCTTGTTTCTAAAAACAAACGAAGGAGTTTAGAAAACTTAAATTTTTTTACAATCTTTAAATTCTCAATAATTTCTGGTTGTACTGTATATGTTGCTTTATTTGTTTATTATTTGTATTTGATCTGTAAGATGAGAAACGACAAAGAATGCATGTTGCCAAGTTCATGTGCTGAAACAGAACCTCTCAATATTCCAGAGTTATTTTATCTATCCACCCGTTGACATTTGACATTTGGGTGTGTACCATGTAAGGGCGGTGGGGTACCCTAGTGGTTGATGCGTTCGCTCGTCACACCGAAGGCCCGGGTTCGATTCCCCACATGGGTAGGTTGTGTGAAGCCCATTTCTGGTGTCCCACGCCGTGACATTGCTGGAATATTGCTAAAAGCAGCATAAAACCCAACTCACTCACTCACTTACTCACTATAGACATAAGATCCAAGTCAAACACAACAAAAGAGGAAATCATAGTTAAGAGTTGTTTATTAGCAGAACATGCCATATCATCAATATAATAATAATAATAATAGCATATATTAAAGAAACTGACGTGACATAAGACCAGATAAAACAAACTGACACAGTTGCTACAATATGTATACACTGCTATCATATTGTGAGGCATGTACACTCACTAAAGGGTCACAGCAACAACTCTCTCTACTGTCAGTTCCATTCGTACCATGCACACGAGTCCAGCTCTGCCAGTAAGCAGCCGTCAGTCTTACACCCAGACACATGTCCTCCACCTGGTCCTGAGTGTACACTCCGATAACATGTCAAGTGAAACAGATGGAGCCAGTGGATAGAATCCAGTCGGTGGAGAAAATCAACCGGTCACAGAAGAACCACCTCCTGTAGAGAACTAGTCAATGACTACAGAAAGCTCTGACACATGCACAATAAATAGACAGATGAGAGGACGCTGGCTCCAGAAGAATTGGCTCCAGGAGAAATGGCTCCAGAAGATGCTGGCTCCAGGAGAAATGGCATGAAGTTGGGGGTGTCTTCAGGAATGAGGGTCTGGAGTCATCTTCTGCGTACTGGCAGATACACAATCACAGTTAAGCATGCACCACACAGTTTTCTGTGACACTGAACATTTTCCCCCCAGACTGCACATAGGAACAATGATTACTCCCTCCCTCCCTCCCGAACGTCATGCTGTGGCCATGCCACTCTGAATAAAATGTACAATTCAGTATACACATTAGTTCTGTACAGTATAATACACTGAGCTCAAGACAGATGTCGGCCACTACAATACACATGCCTGTCTCAGTTTACTTCAAACAACAAGCTACATATCCTTACAAATGTACCAAACGCTCCATATACACAATATATATATATAGATTTATTTTGAATAATATCGTGAGATAATCTGAGATCTTCTCAGAGACAAGTTGGTTGCGATGTCTTCACCCTGTGCCCGACACAGAGACCATTTCAAAGACGCTAATCTCAGAAACATACATGTTTGTGTCTAAAATCAGATAGTGCTGTTATAAGTTTTCTCCAGTAAATACCACCTTAAAATGAGTTGAATAAATAACTGGATATAAAAATCACTATGTCCACGACATCATGAGCAGTAAGTTAAATGAATTTGATCTATGTGAAAAGGTGTACATGTTGTTGATGATCCGTACATAGATTTCTCCATGTCAAATGCACTGAACGTCAATCACTAGCTTAAAACTCGTCTATTAACCTCAAATGCATAGGATGGACAAACGTTTATTGCTTAATTTTAACATGTTCTCAAATTATATTGCTTGAACCATCTGGTTTCCTAGTTATCTTGGTCATTAAGCTTGACTATTTTAAGATAGTAACCTACCGTATCCATTTATGAATATGTAAAAATGTTAACTATTTTACGTAAATGACAGAATGACTTACACACTGAATCAAGAAATATTACAATTGTCTGTGAGAATGACCTGGCCTTTACTGATGACACAAACAACTTATTCGCATACTGAGAACATGAACAAGTTACAGTGCCCAAAAAATGAATTAAAATGACACAGAAAGCTCTATTTTCTGGTATCACATTCATACATGTAAAAACTCCATGGTCATATCTGTGCTACAGATAAGTATGAAAAGGTATATCATAAACATTTCATTGCATCAAATAGTGGCTTGTCCTATCCAGTGTCCAGAATAAACCTAAAGTATTTCCGTTCTGTTTGGGAACACTACGACCAAGTATGGATGGAAGCAAGCCAGGAAGATGCCACACTGACACGGATACAGTGATAGCGCTATAGACCAAGCCCTAGCAGCAGGAACAGACATTAGCAGACAGTTCTCACTTTTAGGTGTGCATATGAGAATCACAATGTCGGCTAGCACTTCGGTTCTACATGGAAAAGGCCACAAGTCTTTTTTTTAATTATTTTCTTTTTCCGTTTGACTGGCTGATGGGTAGTCATGTGATTGGAATACAGCAGTCTGATTGGCCGGTGTGGAGCCAATCGCAGGCTAGGTGGGTGTGTTTCACACGGCACAGCACTCGTTGCTACAGGAGTTGATGGTGGAAGTGTCACGTGTCAGACATAACTGGTGACTGGACGCTGCGTGGGTCATCCTTCTGGGCCTGGGCTTTCTTGATGTACAGGTTCAGGAGCTTCATCTGGAACATCAGGGTAGAATAATGTGTCAGGCTAATCAACAGGTGCAATCCCTTCACATGCCACCTTAACATTACTGGGGCAAAAATAATCAGTGCACACACCAACAAACTCAAATACATGAATGTGTTATTCATGACCACCTAAGAAACATTTCATTTTATCAGCTGTATATTGGCCAAGGACATGAAAACAGCTCAAACTGGGGACTGATTTAACAATTATTATCAGGTGTACATGACCACAAAATAAGGAAAAAATGGCATCAATAAAGTTTTCAAAACCTAAACGTTCTACAACACATATTTCTATGCTTACAGTTTACACTTAAGAAAACAATTACTTTTGATGTGGTCAGTGTGTGAAAACCAGGATATGAGGACACAATATGTGAGGAGATATGTGAGGTGGTCCGGTAAGACAACAGACATCAGATGTTCAACAGAATTACAACAATGCAATGTGTAGAATACAGTAGCTCCCCCTCACCTTGCTTCCCGACAGCTCCTGTAGGTATGGCCTCAGCACCTCCCCCACCCCCAGGTGTATTGCAACTAGACAGAAAACACTGGCCTTCCGCACCATGCTTTCCTGAGCATCGTAACCCTGGAACACAATCAGTCAACACTGTCACCTTGCTTGTTGCTACTGAACAGCTCTAATAACTTCAGGAAGTAGTGTTTACCACAAAGAAATAAATGACTTTACAATATTTGATGCCAAAGTGAGTAGGAAGTCCATTTACTACTTTAATGAAATTTACAATCACAGAATACGTCTTACAGACAATCTTCAAAATAATGAAAGTCTCAGATTCAAACCCATGATCAGCAAATCCCATTGATACAAGCTGTGACACCCCCTGCAGCATGAAGGACTGTGGACTCACCCTGAGTAAACCTGGGACTACATCTGCCAGCATCTTCTCCAGAAACTCCTTGTCCAGCCTCTCCACCACCTGTAACAAAATGGACAAATGTCTCAAAACATAATACTATCAACACAGGTTTCTCTGAAAAAAACACAGAAACATGCAGCTACTCCCAAGCCTCATCTTCTATAACAAAGATGGACCAGGTATAGAGCAATCACAGAAACTAAACCGTGTCCTTGACTCTCTGAAGTCCTTGGATTTCTGAACTCTTTACATTTAACTATGGATATGATGTGGAGCTTAATTTCAAACATCATAAGGTCATCATCATTTTGAGGCAATATTGGATTACAGCTATCTGAAGCATTTCGTAACAAATCTCTGTCCAGACTTATACTTTTTCCCTGTGCTGGTATTCGCCGTGTCACTTTAGACATTTCCTCGAGGAGTCACATGACCAACCTTTGTCTGCATCTTGATTCCGGCCAGGATGACAGGGTAGTGTGCTGTCTGCACTATCTGGTTGAGGATCCTCATGCACTGCTCTGCTGGGATGGCTGTAGACAGGGTATCAGCACACGCCTCCGCTGACAACACCACCTGCAACACATCACCATCCCAAGTAACATCTAGTCATGAAGACTTCTCACATTCATACATGAAAACATTCAGCTCTATGTGTGCTTTGTGAATGCATAGTGGATGAAGTTAGGCACAACAGGTGTTGACTATTACTGCAGGTATTATTGTTCTGACAAGTTTTGCATGATAGTTTGTTGTTCAATGCCACACACAGCAATATTCTAGCTATGTGGTGCTGATCTGTAAAGAATCAAATCTGGATCAGACAATCCATTGATCAACAGCATGTGCATCGATCAACGGTGCTGACAAGTACTGAACGGCCAAGAGAAACAATCTGGGACACATTTCCACTCTTAAAATGCATGCATGCAAGATTTTCTGCTGTTCACTGACTGAACATCTATATTCCCTAATTTAGTGATGGCTGATTCAACAATGACAACATGCTGCCATAGATATTCACCAATACTCCCATATCTCACTGAGTATCATGGTAGATATATATGTTCATAGTAACATGTAGGTGTTGTTTTCACCAGTCACAGAACCCCTGCCACAGCAGGTGATAAAGAAAAGAGACCTGAGAAGTTGCTGAACAAAAACAGCATCACCCAGACTGGTCGTGCACAACCTTCTCAGGTTCACCTAAACCACAGAACTGTGTGTTCACTGAACCACGACATGTGTCAACACATGACTGCCAATTCACAAATCTGAAGTTGCTGCGAGAGAAATAATCAAATCTTTCCCAGTCTTTATCACAGGGAACATTTCGAATGAAACTCCTACACGACAGTACTGTGGATTAAGGATTCTCCTTCACAGCCAGTAAGGAGCAGTGAAGTGAGTAAAGGGCAACAGAGTGTTCCCCCTCACCACAAGGTGTCAACCTGTGCTGGGTCGTGGTTACTTGCTCTATGCCAGGCTAGCAACCAGATATCTGGGGAGTCCTAGTCAGTACCTGCCAGACCTCACTGGTGATGGCACATAAACACGACACCTGACTACAGTGATACTCAGTCGATGAAGATGGCAAGATCCTGGCGACTGGCCTTTCACAGCCCGAGTCATGATCACAGTGTGTACAACACTTGAGACTTGGAACACATGCTGGATGTAATGCAGCTCACACACTGTATAACGTAGGAGGTGAGACAACCACTGGGCTGAATATGTTTTCTAAGCTAACCAGCATCTCTGGAGTCAGAGTGAGTGAGTGAGTGAGTGAGTGAGTGAGTGAGTGAGTGAGTGAGTGAGGGAGGGAGTGAGGGAGCAGACAAGTGAGCCAGGAGTGTGAGTGAGGAGGGAGCAGACAAGGAGCAGACAAGTGAGCCGAGAGGAGTGAGTGAGTGAGTGAGCCGAGGGAGGGAGGGAGCAGACAAGTGAGCCGAGCGTGAGTGAGTGAGTGAGCGAGGGAGGGAGGGAGCAGACAAGGAGCAGACAAGTGAGTGAGTGAGTGAGTGAGTGAGTGAGTGAGTGAGTGAGCTGAGCCGAGGGAGGATAGAGGATAAGAGGAGGTGGGGTACACAGTATATATACAAAGATATAAGAGACAAGAGAGTGAAGTAAGTTTGTTTCTGTGCTTTTCAATGATATTCCAACAGAGATGACACAACTTTATGGATGATCAACTTCTTTATCTTAACAATAGCACGTTTCAGTATAGGTTCTTATACCGTTTTCAAGCATATGGGGGAATGATGGGGTACACCAGTATATATACAAGATAAGATAATGGGATAACAATAACAATGTACAATGGTGGGGAAACAAAGCATCAAAGAAAGTTACATGATGAGCTGAAGATAACAGAAATGGGCTTCACACATTGTACCCATGTGGGAAATTGAACCTGGGTCTTCAGCATGACGCTTTAACCACTAGGCTACCCCATTGCCCTCCAAGCTAGGAGGTGAGGTGAGGTGAGGTGAAATTGGGTTTAACGTCGTACTGCAAGCAAGGAAATATCCATAGCAATTTGAGTGAGGATTGCCTGAGCTATGTCAGAGTAGAGATGTAACCCAGAATGCTGGCAAGCAGTGTCTCTACTTACCATCACAACACAAATCAACAAAATCTTATCAACTGGGATTAAAAATAATTGAAATATTTTTTTTCAGTTTCAAGACATAAATTCCCAAACCCAATCTGAAACACTAATCTCCATTTCCTGCATGTGCAAAGTAAATCTCTAACCCTCCACTTCCCTTACCTCCAGTCTAGATCAGTAAGTTACACCCCATAAGACAAGGCACAAAGGAAGACGACAAACCAAGTATTCAGCATGAAACTTGATGCAGACTCAACTCCTCCCTACATCATGCAGCCTCCTCTCTACAATACCAACTAGCATCTTTAATCAGACCTTGATAGAGAACCAGCTAAAACTGCCTCGGTGTCAAGTTCCGTTGCTGCCTCTAGCATTACCCTAAGCTATCATCAAATGATTTAGAACATCTTGTACCTAAGCTGTGTTTGAAGACCTAATTGTATATATCATGTGTAAAATGGACAGGGCTAAAGTAGACATCACGTTATATTGCAGTACCCATCCTTTTAACCCTTCATGGTTCAACACAGAGATTTGAGACTGTGTGATAGGGATAGATTTGATTTTCATATCTGATGAGTTACAGGATCAAATATTGGCATTGGCTTTGACCTTTCAAACATGATAAGCCCCATCAACAATATATTTTAACATCTTTTAAGAAATACCAGAACATGCATTGTTTTACGAAATACCTCAAATGAAGACTTGTTTATAAAGTTTTACTTACAATGTTTCAAGTTTGATTCATAGATTTTTTGTTAAATTTTTCAAACTTTGCATCATTATAGCTATTGATTTAGTGAGCGAGTGAGTTTGGTTTTATGCCATTTTTAGCGATATAATGGCAGGGGACACCAGAAATGGGCTTCACACATTATACCCATGTGTGGAATCGAACCCGGGTCTTTGGCGGGACAAGTGAATACTTTAACCACTGCCCCACCACCCCTTATAGACTAAGTGAAACATTCTTGATTTATAATTTTAAGCCCCAGCAGTGCAGCAGTAGCAAGGGTTAAGACAATGTAGTGAACCGTATACTGGGAAGGTCATCAGATGATATTAAACTTGGATGATAAGGGAATGGGTAGGGATTAATTCCAAGTGAACTATGTGACTGTAGACTAAATGGCCGTAAGACACCCGTCATTCATGGTGGTGTGAAACATGAGAGATGTGCATGGGTTGTGAAGTCACTGCTCTCTCCGTGGTGGCGGCAACCTACAGGGTCACAGCACTCACTTTGTGTTCCCCAGACTGTCTTGGGTATCAGCTTTGACAGGTTTCAGCTGTATATTAATGTATATTGATAGACTTAACATTCTGGGCTCTGAAAGAGGGTTTGTGAAGATCCAATATAACACTCTGGAAACAGGGTACAAAGAGGCTGAAGTGAGTGAGTGAGTGAGTTGAATCAGTGTGTATGAGCATGTGGTGATGGTGTGAGCAAGTGTATCATGAACGAATGAGTGTATGCAGTCAGTGAGTGAGTGAGTGAGTGAGTTGAATCAGTGTGTATGAGTGTGTGGTGATGGTATGATCAAGTGTATCATGAGTGAATGAGTATGCAGTGAGTGAGTGAGTAGTTGAATACCAGTGTGTATGAGTGTGTGGTGATGGTATAACACATTGTATCATGAACAAATGAAACCCTGAGTGAGTCAGTCAGTCAGTCAGTCCCACATTCTCCAAGACATAAATATTACACATGGCAAAATTACCTCCTTGGCTGGATCTTTGTGAGCCTCAAGTATTCTCAAGATGGTCAACTCGGAGTAATCCTTGAATCGGTCTGGCTGCTTCTTCAGAATTTCCCTCAGAACTTTAATGGCTAAAGCTCGGATCTGACTCTGTTGGTTAAAACAAAACACATATCAGTCAGAGTGACAGCAAGTGAAAAGGATCCATTATTCAATACATTCAACAACTCAAGACATGTCTATGTGAGATACCACTCATAACATGAACCCCCTGCTCAGACACTATTTACTGACTCCAAGCTGACCTGTCTCTACTACAGGCAGGGCAACAACAAGTTCCATGTTTTAATGTCTCTGGGTATGATGAGGCTGGGGACTGAACCATCAGCCTTCTGCTCCTTGGGAGGATGCTCTATACACATTTCCTGTGCTCATGGATCTCCATGGGGAAAAGTGAATGAGTGAGTTTTTACACCACTTTTAGCAACATTCCAGCAATACCACAGTTTGGGACACCAGAAAAAGGCTTCACATTGTACCCATGGCCTTTGGTGTGACAAGTGAACACTTTAACCACTAGGCTACCCCACCGCCCCTGGAGTTTCAGAATGCCGAACTCAAAAAACAACAACTGACAACTCTTGTAACACAGAAAACCAAAGAATTCCAACTTCTACCATCTTGGTCAAGTTCCAAGCACAAACATGTTATCACAGATCTACTTGTTGCAGTAAATATAACAGTGAGAAAAACGAATGAACTAAGCATTCTGAAATCACAATGTCTTACATCATTGTCTCCTAAAGTTTCTAGCAGGATAAGCAGTATAGTCTTGAAGTGCTCATCCCACAGACCGAACTGGTCATCGCGGGTGATCTCCATCAAGGTGATCATCGCTTTCTGACGCTCCGAATTCCTGGAAAGAAGACACAGTGAATCAGTACATACACAACAAGACTGGACAAGGGGGTTAACTATACGATATTGGTATGCCAATAATATGGGTGCGATACGATGCATGTCCACATCCAGTTCTTATAATGTATAATACATATCACAATACATGGGGTTGCCGATCAATGTATTGTACAATGGGTCTTCTAAAAGGTTACAGGTCAGGGTCCCGTTTCACAAAGCTATCGTAGCGCTACGACTGTCATAAGTCTATGCTACAGTATAGGAGGTACCATTGCTATGAGAAAAGTTACGAGATCTTAGGCTTATGAGAGCTTTGTGAAACAGGGCCATGGACAGTGATTGCATCATATCCAACTGTGTAAACTTAATAATATCAGAGTGAGTGAGTATGGTTTTACACCGCTTTTATGCAATATTCCAGCAATATCACGACGGGGGACACCAGAAAATGGGCTTCACACATTGTACCCATGTGGGGAATCAAACCTGGGTCTTCCGTGTGACAAGCAAGCATTTTAACCACTAGGCTACCCCAATGCGCCTAATAATATCAGAGGAAAGCAGACACAAGTTCAGGTTTCTCATAACAGCATCATAAACTTTTCTTGAAAATCTGAACTAGGTATCTCTGTCCATTGTCAAATAAACTGTCCAAGTTTATTTTTCCAGACTTCAAGGATGTCAAAAATATTTTTTCTGCCAAGTTTGCATAAAAGGCTATAAAATCATATGATCTCTCGCAAATCAACTTGAAACATGTCAAATCACATAAGCACATTGTCATGATTTATCACTTATAAGACACTGTTCTGTATCAGCAACTGAAAAGTAGGAATTGTTGGATGACAATCAGTCAACGTCCAGGAGTAGGAAACCCTGTTATCCAGTACTGTCCAGTGAGAATGTACTTACCGTTCATTGTGATTTGATAACTCATTAAGAATCTCACTGATGAGTTCACCCTGGTCTGGTGACGAACCTACAACATATAAAGAGCAGTCAGCTCCAGTCCACACTGTCTTATGGCATACTCCTTCAACACACAGTATCCCTTCATCAACACATCCACAGTACCTCCCACTTGTTCCTACAGTGGTACCTCCCACTTGTTCTTACAGTGGTCCTGACCTGCAGTGTTAAATCATGGTGCACAGTTGCTGGTATAGAGTTCCTGGTATGTAAGAAGCTAGGGAGTGGGTATTGTTTTTCACTGATCTTAGAGCGAGTTTAGTTTTACTCTGCTTTTAGCAATATTCCAGCAACATCACAGCAGGGGAACACCAGAAATGGGCTTCACACATGACGGGAGAACGCTTTAAGTACTGGACTACCCCACTGCCCAACACTGCTTTTAGAAATGTTGCAAAATATTACAGTGGAGGACACCAAAAATGGGCTTCACAAATTGTACCCTTATGGGGAATCGAACCGGGATTTTCAGCCTGATAAGCGAAGATGTTAACCAAGTTACAAACCATCCTTCCTATCTTGGAATGAAGACATACAGATGCCAGGGCAACAGAGCTGTATCACGGTACACATAAGCTTGGGCAACAGATCTTAGCAAGGTACGGTCTGTTACAAGGATGTTTGGGAAAAAGTTAAGTTCGGGTAAAAAAATGATACACGGATGCATGAAGATTTTGTGATATGTCTGTATCATGTTGCATTGTTTCTGACATTCAGAAATGGAAAAAGGTTAGTTTTACTTCTGTTGAACAGTATTTATTCTATCAGCTTCAGACAAGCAGATACTCCAAACTCATACACATCATTGATTGACGGTGATGACATACCAAGCATCATAATGAATCAATTAAACACAGTCACTGACTCCTGGCACAAAAAGGGGCATAACTCTGTACAGTGAATAGTGGCAAATAGTCTCAGACAACTGGGCCATTCTCCTCCAGATGAAATTTAGTTGCTAGGGTGATACATAAAGTTGCTAGGTTTTCAAAGTGATACATAAAGTCTACTAGAAAATTGTCTAAAAAGCCCTAAATAATTCATGGGTTTGGGCATAAAACCAGCATCTGATGTCTTCAACATCCAGGAACAAGAGCTACAAAAGCACTTGATGTCACCAAACAAATCTATGTCAGTCTGACAAAACTGATTCAGAGCTTGTTAGTGAAGTATTAATTTCATCCCCAGCATGAAGCACCTGTGAATTCACCATGTTGATGAAAGACATACCATGAACACAAACAATGTCTTTACACCTGTTCTCATGACATTCAATCATAAATGTAATAAACATTCTTTCCAGGCCAGGTTGGCAAGATGATTGATGATGGATGACGATGTTATAAATAAATGAAACACTATTCATCTTTTACAATGACGCATGCAGGCAAGATGACAACATCTCAATGCTACAGCAATCTAAAAAATTCATGCTCCAAGCGACAAAAGCGTAATCTCCATTTTCAGTGTTCGAACATGACATGACATGTCTTCTTGAAACTTAATGGAATTTTAAACCAGTCATGTCACATAAATAATGATGAATGTCTAGAAAGCTTACAATATTGATTAAACAGGTGAATCTTTGTTGTTACACATATTCAAAGCCGGCTATAAATCTTGAAAATTTAATGGAGCGGAGGTTGGTGCAATGTTTTTTGATGAAGCTCCCATAAAATGCTAGTATGCCTGGTGTGTTTTGCAAGCAGCATGCCAAAGAGGTTGTATGAGGTTATGAAAACCTCTGTGTGCAATTCAAAGTTAATCTCAAGAATATAACAACAGTGAGAAATGAAAGTGACAACATCCATTCCTAGTGGTGTCAGTTATCGGTGTTGTTGAACATCCCTGAAAGTGTTGAGTGCAATGAAGATTACGTTGACACAAGATTAGAATTGGTGTACTTTCTGCATGGAGAGCACACAATATTAATAACAGCAAACATGACAGATGAAAACTTGGTGAAATGAACAACACTTGTTCAACAATATATATATATTATATATATTGACGACTTAATCTTTTCACGTTAAGAGGTAAAATGTGCCAAATTAACCACCAACCTGGGATTAACATGAGGAATTTTATAAATCAGTTCGTAGACTATTTTAAATAACTTTATCATGTAATTTTCAAGAAATTATTCAGAAACACCAAACATTCCAAACTGTAAAATTGATCACATTATTTCTTGTTTGAAATAAGAATTACTTCAAGTAATATCCAGATAGCGACTCTGTAAATGATATCAACAGTTGCGTGATCTCTGAACACATTTGGGGCAACATGCTTCAATCCTCTCACCAACATCCCAGGGAGAGATGGGAGGGGCGTGTTGCTGCTCGAGGGACCCCAGAGACAAATATACCAGTACCCCACACAGACATGCCTTACACCAGAGGTGATGAAGACAGTGGTAACAAAATCGATAGTCCAGTCTTTCATCCAACAAGATTCACAGACTTTTCCGCTATTGATAGCTATCCTGATATTTAATACCATTAACATTTCCAAAGGAATGAAAGTTGACTAGCATTTTATATAAATAAACAAAAAAAATACACAAGTAAAATTTGCTTTGACAGTTGAAAATCCATAATTTTGCACCTATTACATTTTGTGTTTACTGCGAAATGATCTGTAATATGACCAATAAAATATGACTTTGATTTGGGAGGTTATACAGATTGGTTGAGAAGTTGGTCAGGGGGTGCATATTATGGTAAATGCAGGGCTCCAGATAAGGGCCGTATCGGCGTATGTACGGATAAAAATATTGCACGATACGGTAGGAAATAATTTATAAAACATAGCAGATACGCACCACGGCAATGGTGTACTGTCTTAGAATCATTTACAGACGTATTTATCTGAAAAAGTATTGTTTTATTGTATATTGACCTGTTTACACAAGACTAGCAATGTTGTGGTGCATATATGAAACGAAACACAAGATTACTGATACTCCATTCAATTCCATTCAGTACTCTAAATGTAGGCTTAAGGTTTTCGAGTACTCCTATATTGAAAAAATAAGGAGTACGTACTCACTGTTCAAAAATTATCTGGAGCCCTGGTAAATGTATGTATTTAAGTTCTACAAGCAATGATCAACACCCTATGTATTAATATCAGACTGTGCTGGTCTAGGATTTAGTAAGTACCACTGATGTTTGTTTATTTGTTCTTTAACATTGCACTCTAAACAAACAAACATCAGGAGGTACTTCTGGAGGAGTTCCGGCAGAAACAACCGTCTGTGCATCTTGCTGGATGAGACTTACATTTATTTCAGACAAAGAGAAATGAAACAGAAAACAAACAAAAATATGGACTGAATGATAAAATCCTCACCATACGAAGGGGACCCTAGCAAGAGGGTGTGCCATGGAGCTAGGGGGAAATCAAGGGTATTCAAAAAATAATTACGACAACTCTTGATATCTCTCTGGGGAAAAACTGAATAGAAAACACCTTGTTATGAACCTCTACCCGGCGTCACAGACAATACTACTACACATACACAACACTACTGTAGCAAATAAAACCACAATTTAAGACCAGAATCACCACACAAAACATTTAGATGATGGATGAAGGATTTGTAAGTGTATTATTGTGCATACACTGTTGTGTGGGACTAATCACTACGGGCTACAATGAGTGGGTGAGTTTAGTTTTACGTCGCACTCAGCAATATTCCAGCTATATGGCGGTGGTCTGTAAATATTCGAGTCTGGACCAGACAATCCGGTGATCAACAGCATGAGCATCTATCTACGCAATTGGGAACCAATGATATGTGTCAATCAAGTCAGCGAGCCTGACCACCCGATCCCGTTAGTCGCCTCTTACGACAAGCATGGGTTACTGAAGATCAATATTCTAACCCAGATCTTCATGGGTCTCAGGCTACAGTGAAACATTATTGTTATGAATTATAACATTACATCGTTGGCTACATCAGCAGTTTTTCAGTTACATCACAGTAGCATCTTAGGCATATCACAACAGTGTCCTCATCGGTGGATCAGTTTCCAGAAGCAACAGTACATGGACCACAGCGATGAGTGAGTGACTTGTGTTTAGCACCACTTTGGACAGTATTCCAATGTCAGCTTAATGTGGACAGAAAAGCTCAATCTGATGCAGGTCGTAAATGTTTACTACTTTTGTAAACACATAAGCGACCTATGTTTATTAGTTCCTGTTGTGCCAAGGGGATTCTACTCTGCACCAGAAATGGGCTTCACACATTGTACGCATGTGGGGAAACGAACCTTGGTCTTTGGCGTGACGAGCAAACGCTTTAAACACTAGGCTACCCCACTGCCCCTCATCAACACATGACAAGCATGTGGCAAGATGGCTGTTAGGAACCACTGTGTCCATGAAGTATGACCTGGTGGAGAAACTCCTTGTGATGCCATTTTGCTAGATCTAATTCATAAAGGACTTCTGCAAAAATACTGTGATCATGCATATTTTGTTGATACAGTTTACAGACTAACTAAGCTATACATCCTTAATCCAATGCATATGTAAATATATATAGTAAAACTACATCAATGAAAATGTCTATTCTAACTCTACCTGAATGAACTTCAATGAGAACCAACCCAAAACAACTGTGAACAGCATGTTGTCCATCTTACCTTTATTGAAAAAGTCATTCTCTCCGTCATACACTGCCTCGGCCAGGGCAAGCTTGTTATTGTAGCCATTCATTGCATTCTGAAGACAGAACATGACGTGAATGTAAACCACAATTAGTGAGTTCTTGAACAAGGGGAGTGAGTGAGGGGGTGCATAATACTGTGAATATAATCTATCAGTTCCACATTCAATGACCAACGCTCTATTGATTTATTTATTCATATCAGATTGTTTTGGTCCAGCATTCAGTAGGTACTATAGAAGGAGATCCTGCTGCAATAACAGACTAGCCATCTTGGAGGATAAGACTTCATTTACTTCTCATATAAGAGAAATGAAACAAAAGACAAAGGTTGGTTGGTTGTTGCGTAACGCTGCATTCGGCAATAATCCAGCTATATGGCAGCGGTCCATAAATATACGAGTCTCTACTAGACAATCCAGTGATCAAAAGCATGAACATCGATCTACGCAATTGGGATACGATGACATGCGTCAACCAAGTCAGCGAGCATAACCACTCGATCCCATTAGTCGAGAAAACAAAAGCATATACAATGAGCAGCATCAACATTTCAAGTCTACTGGTCAGCTCATCTAGTCAACTCATCCGGTCAATTCATCTCGTCAACTTATCTGGTCAATTCATCTAGTCAACCCATCATCTAGTCAACACATCTGGTCAATTCATCTCGTCAACTAATCTGGTCAACTCATCTAGTCAACCCATCAAGTAGTCAACACATCTGGTCAATTCATCTAGTTAACTAATCTGGTCAACTCATTTAGTCAACACAGCCGGTCAACTCATCTAGTCAACTCAGCCGGTCAACTCATCTAGTCAACACAGCCGGTCAATTCATCTAGTCAACTTATCTAGTCACTTCATCTAGTCAACACAGCCGGTCAACTCATCTAGTCAACTCATCTGATCAATTCATCTAGTCAACTCATCCGGTCAACTCATCTAGTCAACTCATCTAGTCAACTCATCTAGTCAACTCATCTGGTCAACTCATCTAGTCAACTCATCTAGTCAACTCATCCGGTCAATTCATCTAGTCAACTCATCCGGTCAACTCACCCTATTCCTGACTTCCTCCTGGTAGTGTGACGGGTTATAATGCAGTGCCCTCTTCCCACCATCCACAGCATCGGGGCTGTCGTTCCGTAAGTCCTGAATCCCAGAATCCTGCGATGTGAACTCACGTTTCTTTTTAATATCATCGTAATGGTCCAGTTTGCTGTTTATGCTAAGATTTTGGATGTCAGCAGAAGTCTTTTTAATGGAATTGTAAATGTCCTCTGGATTCAAGTTCTCCGTCTCAAACTCATCTGGATGGCCGATACTTGACCGAGATGGAGGCCGGCTCCTCTGCTGCCCAGGGCTGGCTGCATTGCGGGGAGACAGTACATCCATTGGTTCGCTCGTTGTGCGAATGTGGTTGTGTAATATCTTAGTGGCACCATCCTTTAAAAAAATATTCATATGTGTTACAGGCACAGGTTCTTGATCAACAGAATTTTTACGATGCTATTCTTAATCAGAGGGAAGAAAATATAAATCAAAGCATCACTTTAACTTGTTACCCAGGAGAGAGAGAGAGTTTAGTTTTACGCCGCACTCAGCAATATTCCAGCTATATGGCAGCGGTCTGTAAATAATCGAGTCTGGACCAGACAATCCAGTGATCAACAGTTGTTACCCAGGAAACCGTACCAGCTGATGACAGTTCTTCAAGTCAGAGAACTACACTATATCAGCAATCACACAAATATTAAAACACGGATCTAAAGTCTGAGAAAAGTAAAGTTCATCAAGTACTGGAGGAATACCACTTTACCACTGTAAGAGATCATTGTTCCAGACAAGTGAAAACAAAACTTAGTTTTTAACCCTGGAACACACAAGCAATCTGAAGGTGAGTGCCCATATTTCTTCTTGTACTTGCAGTATTATTACTCTTGATTGTTTCAGTAGCTTATTTACAATGAAAAGACTATCTATCCTTGTATCTATCCTTGTAAACATGTCCAAAATAACAAATAACTTTAAGAACAAACAAATACTTGATAGTATGTGAGTTACTTACTTGGAATGCTTTGGGCAACGCTGATAGCATGAGGGAAAACTCTGGGGCATTCAAGTTGAAGAGACCTATGAGGACTAGCTGGGCAGCCTGGAACACACATGGATGGTACACGTGATGCTTGGTTCAAGCTGCTCTGACCAATATCTCAGTAAAAACAGTGTGTCAGCTGAATGTGGGAGAACAGTGGTGTTGTGTTTATCACCTTGCTTACTAACACAGGTGAGTGAGTGAGTGAGTGAATGAGTGTGTGAGTTTTACGCTGAACTCAGCAATAGGCCAGCTATATGGAGGCGTCTGTAAATAATTGAGTCTGGACCAGACAATCCAGCGATCAACAGCATGAGCATCAATCTGCTCAATTGGGATACAATGACATGTGTCAACCAAGCCAGCGAGCCGGACCACCCGATCAAGTTAGTCGCCTCTTACGACAATCATGGGTTACTGAAGGCTCATGCTAACCCGGATCTTCACGGGTTACAAACACAGGTGCTCAGACAAATAATCAGGGTAAATCAGGGTAAATCAGGGACTTGAACTGCTGCAGGTCACAACCTTTCTGGCATGCCTGAAGCCAGCAACTCCTAATAGTGAAAGGCTGAACCTATAAGTGAGTGAGTTTAGTTTTACGCCACTTTTATCAATATTTCAGCAATATCACTGCGGGAAACACCAGAAATGGGCTTCGCACATTGTACCCATGTGGGGAATCGAACCCGAGCAGAACCTATCAAAATGGGACACCCATTTTTCCGTTCACGTTATGTCCTACCATTCAATCTACTACACAAACATCCCAACCGAAGTCAAACTTACTTTTCTAACTTCTGTATTCTTTGGTTCTGTTGTCCATGTGATGATTCTAGAGACTGCTAACCGGACATCCATTGTATTTACAAAGTCGGAGGACGCCATGTGAATAATCAGACTATTGAGGTAATGCAACATGGCTATCTTAACCTGGAACAGAGAAGCAAACAAGGGAGGTAACTCTCCAGTCTCCACCACAAAAACATCACACCTTGCTGAACACTAGCTCTTGCCACACAACCAATTTATTCATCATATTAAAAATATAGGTGGATCAATATAACATCAAAATGGAAATAAGGCTCAAAAACATGAATAACTTCAAGAAGCACAGCAAGAAAAAAAATAAATGACTATCATTAATTAAATGACGATATATCTTCCAATTATTTGGAAGGTAAAATGTAAATTGGTATATGATATGTTCAAAACATCTACATAACATACTGAGCACTGTTTCACATCCACCTTTGTCTCACACATAAACCTTAAATTAGTTTCTGCTGACAGAAGCTTGAAGAATTTACGATCAAAATAAATCCACTTTATAATATAATAACCATTAGAAAATCCTACACTTCTTTTCTCAGTCACTTGGATAGTGCGCACACTATTTTCAAAATAAGATTAATGGTGGTGATCTCCACTGACTGATCTTGCAGGGATCTATCTAAACCTTCCAAGAGGACGATAATCAGCAAATGTCCGTTATAATCCGGCAGATGACATCAAACATTTCCCAATTCATACTGCTATAGATATGACTAATGCTGGGTCTCATAGAGGTCACTTGTACTGCACTGACAACAGGGCCAAAAAATAGAGGAGGCTTTAATACTTAGTTTAACATTACTGAACACAATGTTTAACATTTGAGGTTAAAATAAGTTAAAAAAATATAACTAACAAGTCTCAGTTTTGAACGAAATATCTTTTCCCTATTTGCCTGCCACTCTGTTTGAAATCCGACAAAGCCTAGTCTTCATTACAAATATCTGATCATTCTCTAAAGATTCCTTAGATTGTAATCACAATAAACCTAACCCATCACCATCCCTATATGAAGCAATATAACAACAATGATGTACACTGATTCACGGAGATGTGGACTTTCAGAATGAGTGAGTATGGTTTTATGCCGCTTTTAGCATTATTCTAGCAATATCGTGGTGGGGGGACACCACATTTTACCCATGTGGGGAAGCGAACCCGGGCATTTTGCGTGACGAGCGGACGCTTTAACCACTAGGCTACCCCACCGCCCCCTGGAGTTTCAGAATGCCCAACTCAAAGAGCAACAACTGACAACTCCTGTAAAACACAGAAAACCAAAGAATTTCAACTTCTACCAAATAGCAATAAGTGTTTTTGAACAGAATTATATCCAAAAATACATCAAACGATATCTTTATCTACATTTTGGTGAAAATATATCCAAATTTCCATTGCAATTTTTGTCAACATATTTTTTTCCAAACACACCCGAGGGTAAACATTTATGTCAAAGGTCAAGTACATATTTTATACTACAACATGACACACAACAGATTCTTTATTGTATTCAAGTTACTACTAACAAAAATAGTAACATCTTACAATTACTCATATACAACTATCATGCTCTTATAAAATTTCTGTCGTACATACATTTCAAAAATGAATATGCAATTCAGACAAAACTATTGCTTGTAATTTTTTTATTATTTATAGACAGTTCTTAAAAAACTATCACCGCAATATGTATTTCAAAGCTAATTACATGCAGTCAGATTTGTATTATCAATAGAACTGATTTAACATTAATTTCAAAGAATATTAAAATGAAATAAGTTTTAAAAAGAGATAAATCAAATGAAAAAAATTAATGCTAGTGTTTTGTTCCATGCATTTAAACTGACAGAACATGAGGATAGTTATTTGTCAAATATTCAACATACAGCCATTATTTGAATTATTGGTTTCTATACATGATCAAGTTTTCTAATGAGGTTATTTTCATTCATATTTAGGTTTCAATCAACAATGCCATATTCACATTGAAAGCAGAGCAAATACCTTTAACCAAAGTACTTTTTCTACCTTGATACATCAACTACTTTTCTTCTTGAACTTAAGTTAAAAAAATTAATCTGTCACAAATTATGGCTAAAAACAATCAGCAAATTGACTAAGTAAAGAAAAAATACATCATATATGGTGCTGAGGAACTATATGTGAGAAAAATACCAAATGTGATTAGAAAACTTATAATTTCAAGTGTCAGAAATTCTTCAAGATGGAAAAGTCAAAATACATTTGACATTATGCAAAACTTCTACCCAGTAAGCTTGTATCGTTCTCGAGTTAAATTTTAGCATTTTCATGTTAGTAACATAATATGTATACAGTTTTCACATTTTTTAATAATTTGTTGTGTAACTGCCAATGGATAGTCTCAGATGAATAACATTTTAGACTTGGGAGCACTGATTAAAACTTTTTAATTTTAATTTTTGAAACTTTTAACAAAATGTTAGTTTCAGCTTGACATTACATTGCATATTTGGCTTAAGAACTGATTTATCTTATATTCATAAAATTAAATGTAAAGGTTTGTTTAAAAACAATCAGAGAAGAAAATAGTCAAAATTAATACACATTGTAAAACAATGACCGAAATGTGCAGCACAGTTTCATGCAAGTGTGCAAATATACAGACCCAACACAAGAACACTTTACTGATAGCACTCGGTACACAAACACAAAACATTGCACTCATTTTCATTGACAAAACACACAAAACAGCTGAATTGACAAAACAACAATTGCAAACAACAAGCTGGCAGAGTTGTTTCCCTTGATAATATATAAAACATCCCATGCTCACAACAAACTAATATTACCTTTTGCTAATTAGAGGCAAGAGAAAGAAAATATCATGTTAATCGATATATTCAAGCATTATACATAATCATCTATGATTATAGAGTATTCAAACATTGCATATTGGACAGTGAAAGACATTTTCTGAATCTACGTTTCGACTATCTAGTTGAAAAAACTTTCTTTCTTTTTCTTAATCTTGTAAGCAATCAAGCTAAAAGGAATATATATTTCACACTTTGATACACCCTAACTACCATCACATCAGCACATTCTTCTAACAAATGGGATAATTTGGACAAATCCAACTTTTAACATTTTCTGATTTTTTGCATGCATGTCTGCCAAATAAGTTGCAAACTCAGGACACAAAGGAAGTGGCTTGCTGAACGCAATGAACAAAACCTGAATGATAGAAAACTGTTAAGGAAGCGACAACCAGAATTCTGAGGTCGGCATTCCACAGCACAACATACACGGACTTACCTTCAGATTAGGGGACTGTGTTGAATCTATGATGAATTTTGTAATTGTATTAAACTGATGATCACTTGGAAAGTTTTCTCTGAAAACATAGGAAATAAATATTTATGAACAATATTTCAAAATCAAATGGAGCAGTTAAAGAAGTAACATAACTATTGATACGAGATTAAGGACTCTTCTAGCACCTAGAATACATATCAAACATTAGAAACATGATTTTTCATTTCTTTTTGTCAATGAACAGTTATTCTATTGTGACTGACTAACTGACTGAGTTTGGTTTTACGCCGCTTTTAGAAATATTCCAGCAACATCACGGCGGGGGACACCAGAAATGGGCTTAACACATTGTGCCCATGTGGGGATTCGAACCCGGGTCTTCGGCATGACGAGCCAACGCTTTAACCATTAGGCTACCCCACCGCCCCTATTCTATTGTGATACCCAATTCGAAGTGAGTGAGTGAGTTTGGTTTTATGTCGCTTTTAGCAACATTCCAGCAATATCACGGCTGGGGACACCAGGAATGGGCTTCACACATTGTACCCATGTGGAGAATTGAACCCAGGTCTTCAACTTGATGAGCGGACACTTTAACCCCTAGGCTAGCCTACCACACCCAAAACTAAAGCCTGTTTGTGTGTTCAAGTGTTTTGGAGCTAAAAGTGAGTTGTGTTAAAGACTAAATGGAACCAAATTTCAGAAGTATAGGACAGTGTGTCTGTGTTATGAGGGAGGAAATCTAACATGTGTTCTTGAATTGCTCCTTGGAGAAACCCAAGAGTTCAGGCATGGTGCCAACAAACCAAGGGTTGGAATCAGGATGAATTTGGCAGTAGTATCTATCATCAGCAGATCCTGGACTGGCTAAGGGACGCAACTCTGCAGAATGAGTTGTGATAACCACAGAATCAGCTGTGATGTAAGGTACATCAGGGGCGGATACAGCTTTTTGAGAAAGGGGGGTGCACACTTCATTTACATGCAAATCCCCTCTCTGTATCCGCCTATGTACATATCATGAAGGTTAATGAAGCAGCATATGCAGATACCCACCTAACAGTGTCTAAAGCTTTCTGCAGTTTAGCGTAGACTGATCCCAGCATGTCTGCGCCTGTCTTGTTGAGGAGGCGAGTGAGGAGGATGTAGAGCCAGTCCAGCAAATCCCGACAGTGGAGGCCGATCAGCTCCACCAGTGTGTCCAGGAAGATGCTGAACACCTGGACACAAACAAACATACTGTCACAGGTCACATAAAACACAAACCTAATGTCTCACATGGACAAAAATCCTTTGAATTTACTACTTAACTAGTCTGTCTCACAGTTCCTGAACCATATTATTTTCCATATTTCCTAAGCTTCTCTGCAAAACTAAAGCCCGAAATGACTAAGGTCTAGATTTCCTCAGGTTCAGGATCTCTGGTCTCCCTGGGGCTCCTTTTCAATTTAAATGGATTTGCTTGTTACTATCAAAATTATATATATTCAGAGACTAAGCGATAATCTATGACTTAACTTGTGTCTCAAGTTGAGTATGAGATATAGAAGCAGCAGTTCAGGACTAATCTTTTAGCATCCAAAATAAATCTACACAAGGATCCATGTATAAATAAGCAGCCAAATGCTCATAAATGTTATATGATCGATATAACTCTTATTTACTAAAACCATTCTAACATTCTTAAGTTATTCCAGTTGTGCTGTTTACTTGAAAACAGTCTTACCTTATCATCGGTTCTTGTATTCGATTTTACACAGGTTTTAAATCAAATGTTTCAAATGTTTTCATATACCTTACAAAAGTAAACATTATAGTGACAGTACGCCTACAGTGACTTACCTTGCTGTGTGGATCATGGAACATTCTAGTAAAAATCTCTGTAACCTTTTTCAATTCTACACGACTGAAAAACAAAACAAAATTAGAATTAGAATTTCATGAAAAAACATGAAAAAAATACAATTAAATCAGACACCAGTTAATGAGTGCATGAGTATGATCTTTTGATGCTTTTTGGAATTATCCAGCAAAAACATAGTATTAATATTGTTATAGGATATTTATATAGCGCATATATCCACACAACTAGTGCATGCTCAAGGCGCTGGTATTTTTTTATTATTTTTTTTTAGAATTATCCAGCAAAACACAGTATTAACATTATTGTAGGATATTTATATAGCTCACATATCCACACAACTAGTGCATGCTCAAGGCGCTGGTATTTTTTATTTTATTTTTTTAATTTATTTTCTTTATATATATACATATGGCACCAAGAAGTGCTTCATGAGCTGTACCATTTGTAATTGAATGACATCTGCATCATGAAGACAAATTACTTTTCCACTCATGGTTAGATGAGGTAAAATGCAGTTTAACGTCATAGTCCAGACAAACCCTAGTGTTATAATGATATTCCACTGAAACACCATGCTGTAGATACCCCCTCTGACACACAATTCTGAGTGGACTAGGGCTGCAAACAATTCACCCAGACCTTGATAGATTCGATTTTCGATATTAGACCTTTGATTCAATCATTTTCAATTCAATTCTTCATTATTTCTCTCAGAGTTCAAATGAGTTGGCTTTTTAGCATGGAATCCATCATCAACTTGGCAATGTCTACCAACAACAGTTCTCACAGGATAATTAGCCCGGCGTCAACCAATCACGTTTTTCGCCTTATTTCAGCGCTCAAAACTGCTAGAGTTGGAGTCAAAATAATGTTCTCGCTGTGTGGAAATAATTTCAATAGATATTCAAATATTGATTCGAAATAGTGATAATGGTTATCGAAAGTCGAAAAATAAGGTGTCAGATTCAATTTTCGATGAATCGAACAGAATCGTTGCAGCCCTACCTCTGACACACAATTCTGAGTAGACCCATAATGGCGACCTCAAGGAGGGTAAAAACAAGTACCATATTTTAACATCATTTGGTGTGCCACACGATCAAATCCACATCCTTCTGCTCTCCTAGACAATTCTACTTCACATAATAGTGAGTGAATGAGTGAGCATGGTTTTATTCCAGCAGTATCACAGCAGGGGACATCAGACATGGGTTCACACATTGTATCCATGTATGGCGTTACCCCTAACATAATACAGAGTAGGGGTGAAAAGGTATACTGTGGTATTAGTAGAACCACGGTATTTTGCCTTCGGTTCGGTGTACCATAATGCAATAAAAAAAATCGGTATTTTCAGTTTTCGTACTGTCATTTTATTAACCTTTTCTAAAATGTCTAGAAACTGAATAATTTTGTCTGTATTTCTTTTCTTTACTGCATTATGATCATATCTCATATACCGAACCGAAGGCCTTGTACTGCAATACATACTGTACCGTGGTAAGAGAGTACCGTTTCACCCCTAATACAGAGACTATCTGTGTGGGGTACTCACCTAAGGTATCTATTCATTCTAAGTAAATGCTGTAAGGATATGAGCCCCTCTTTCCTCTCTGTGTATGAGCCACTGCCGAGCTGAGCGATGATCTCCTGCATGTCCTGATACACGAACACAGATGATCTCCTGCATGTCCTGAAACACACCCACCAACACGAACACAGTCACATATATCACACCACTCACTCCTACTTAGCACTGAGTACATGATGAATAACACCCACCGACAATGCTGATAAACGTCAACAAGATGATGAACTAACGACAGAGTAATTGTCTGATGTAATGATTATGATGATTGTTAGGAACAGGTCATTTTTCTGTCTAACGTGTGCTTGTATTCAAGCAGTATTACTGGCATATGAACTCAATAGTTAATTCATGAAATCTCATCAAACTTGTAATACGTTAAAATTGTCATGATTGCTGAATAGCAAGTACTAAACAGACTTAACAAAAACTAATCAGAAATAAAGCAAACACTTATCGGAATGTTTCCTAAACCATGACCATACACACAACTAGCTGACGAGAAAGTAGCATGACAGTAACATTGCTACTACACGGACAGTAAGCATCTACTAGGTGAGATCGATTGATATAAGACAGCAATAAGGGTTCACATATAAAACTATGCCAACATGTTTCACCAGTAATAACTGTCCCTCACATACCTAGTTCATGAGTCAGTCAGAAAGGGTGAGTGAGAACAGTGGGAAGGCTCTTCCCACAATGTACTCTTAATGCAGAATCAAACACACAAGCTTGGTATTATGAGCAAGTGCTTTAACCACTAGGCTACCCAACCACCCACTCTGTCAATGCAAATGAAGCTTGTCACTGACATAAAGGTCTACCCTTGGTTACTGGCCCATAGGGACCATACAGAATTCACAATCCAAAAATGTCAATGCTTTAGGCTTCTCCGATAAAAACAAGGGCAGGAGATTTAAACAATTGCACATGATTTCATATATCTTAACACAGTAAACTGCGGCACCTTAGATGATGGGGCCAGCTGTATCACCTTGTACCATGAGCACTGCAGAACAACATGCTAGATTTTGTGTTGCCAGTCAGGTCCTAGCTGAGAGTTATCTCCCCTGGTTGTCACCCACCCAAAGGCTCCTCCTTTTCACTGTGACCATTTCAGAGGCCACGCTTCTGATACTGGAGAATAACTATGGCCTGGTATACCCCTGGGGTTGATTGTGTAAAGTGTGACATAGACTGAAGCAAGGATATGAAAAGTTGGTAGCGATAGCACAAGAAGCCATGTGAAGCACATCTTCCTTCAGTGAATCAGTGAGTTGAAGTACGATATATAGGTATTGCACGAATGTCAGCCTAATGTGGGTAGGTCATCATAAGTATCAGGTTCTCAACAATTTTATCACTGAGGTATGGTCCTGTATGACCATATAAATGATAATCACTAGGGAGCTGAGATCTGAAACCTGAACACCAGCTCCTTGCACAGTTAGTGGTAACAACAACACAACAAATTACAGTGCCTCGGACAACTGGACTACCCTAGCCCACCCATTGATAACTACAGACATACACAGTAATAATCTTGACAATGTGTCTTAGCATACTTCATAAGAAATAGAATACTAGGGATGTCATCGTCTATTACAATATCAATGCATCAATAAATTCTTAATGCTGATACTGCTTCCATATAAATTTATGAATATTTGAATACTGAGACTAAATAAAAAATTCACAGCCAGAAAAAATTATTTCATTTGTTAAAATGAAGATGATAATGAGAATGCAGAAAGTTCAATTTCAACCATTTAATTGATCAGCCAAGTTCCCATTTAGCATTAAATCAATTAATGCAGCTCAACATAGGAAATTTTGTTTCTATCCACATTCAGAATTTTTTTGTAACTTTTCCATGTATCAATATATCATGATAGTTTTGAGTCAAAATATCAACACTAAAATATCTGATCAATGACACCTCTAGGGAATATACATAACGAGAGCACTGCTACAAAGGGTAGGTGAAACTGGAGGCCACCATTGACACATGCAGTTACCTCCTCCGTCACAACTGTGTTGGGAGAATACCTCAACAGGCTTTGATGCTTTGACGAAAAGGAAAATACTTTGTTTACAACTAATTCTAATCACTTAATTATTCTCAAAACAAAACACTAGAAGGAAGAGGACTAAATATGAAACACACTCAGATATGGAAAATTATCTGCACACAAAGATACTTTCTTCAAACAGTACATAACTAAATTTGAAAATAAAATCAAGTGGAACATAATTTCTGAGAAACAAAAATATGTTCATTTTATTCATATAAGAAATAATTTGCATATGAAAATATTTCCTATGAATCATTTGAAGTGCAAAACAAAAAAAATAATTGTGTTCTGTTGCGATAAATGAAGTAAAAAAAAGGTGCCAGTCAAAAAATATGTACTGAAAGACAATCTCAAATGACGTCTGACCATCATATATGTGAGGCTATAAATGATAAAGGTGTGATGATGTCCAACATATAGTTGTCACAAACACATAAGATGTAACGATATGAATCTCAAATAATAAATACACCCACAATTGATAAATTGTTTCTAAACAAAGAGTAGCTACAATCTCTAACAGTCCACTTATCCAAGTTAAGAAAAGAACGTACTTGCAGATTTATCCTAAATATAGTGATGCTACATTAATAACTTGCCCAGTTACAGTCAGCGTTCGAAATAATCGCCGGCCCAGAGGCCCAGCGCCGGTTGTTATTGTATCAGGCCGGCAGTTTCAAATATTTGCAGGCCCTTGTGGCCTTCAGTAAATTATCTGTGTGTTTTTTTCAACTTAATCTTTCCCATATTTTTTTTCTTTATTAACGTTCGGGAATCATCCACGATCCATCATGTTTACGATAACTTACAGTTTCACTTCCTGGTATTTCAGCTCTTTGCGCATGGGAATGTCAACACCAGTCTTTCACAAATAAAAACTTCTCTCTGCGCCATAGGCTTCACTAATTGATTTTGTAGAAAGTGTGAAACTGTGTACAGTGTAGTCTATTTTGGTTTGACTTTAACAAATTGGGCCTGCAGATTTCATTCAGAGCCTGTAGATTTTAATGCCTGCAGGCGGCAGCAGTACTGGTAAATTAAAGTGTTGCAAACACTGGTTACAGTGGTGGACTGTAAACATACATTTAAACATATACCACTAAATAGAAGCTGAAGAACACCCAACATGTTTCATGGTATGACAGATAAACAATCAACAAATAAAACTGAGGTACGCTTATACTGATCTTGAGAAGTAATCATTACTATAGCTTCACAGCATAACATTCTCCTTCTCCAGCTAACAAAACTAAATGGCAGTAAGTGTGAACAGAAATCCCGCTTCCTTGCAAGGCTATCATCAACCAGCTGATGTACGTCTATACAAGCCACGGAACAAAGGAATCTAACAGACAGAAACAACATGCAGTGCCGACGTCAGTACCTTGACCTTCGGGTGACGATGTCTCCGATCCATATCGGAGTCCGCCTGAGCGAGTGCAAGCAAGACAACACTCTCAGTATTAAGTATCATAAGTACTAGTACTCTAGTAGAATGAGACTACAGTGCTAATATGTGTTTGACATGATGATACACCAATAGTTACAGTCACACTTTTAAAGATTAAAATGTTAGCGTCATGCTATTTTACAAAAAGCATTCAAATAAGTTTTATAGTCACATATATCAATTCATGTTATGGAGTAAAACCATCATCAAATTGTCCTTAACTTCTGTTGAGTAGTGTATGAAAGCACTGATAGTGTATTTACGCACTGATAGTGTATTTACTGTTAGCCTTGACTGTAATCTACAGAGTTATACGGAGCTCTAATGTCAGCCTACCTCTGATGTCCGGCCACTGTACGAGTTATATGACCGCTCAGAACACACGCTGGATGTCTCGCTTGCATTGTCGTCGGAATCGTACATGTCAAACCTTTTCTTTGCCGGTCCCCGTTGCTGGAACAAGATTGTTTAAGGACTGAACAGTGAGCTCAGATAATACACACAACCATATACTGACAGACTCTTTAATGAGTACTTATGTATGCACAATACTGAGTGTAATGGGTTGGATTGTGCCGATATAGCAATATTCCAGCAATATCTCCGCAGGGGACACCAGGAATGGGCTTCACACATTGTACCCATGAGGGGAATCGAACCATTGCCTTCCAGCATGATGAACAGACACTTTAACAACTACTTAATATTGCCCCCCACCATCCCTCCACTATGCGCAAGATTTAAAATAACAAGATGCTACTGTCTGCACAACTAATTATTGCATTTATATGTATTTTAGTCTTTTATAGTGTGATGATTGGCAAAACTGAGGATTTATGACAAAGATGACAATGAGGTAGAGTGTTTGCAAGAATCTACAGACAAGGTATGTGAATGAGAGCTTGTTGGTAGCAGCAATAGTTTGTACTTACCATTCAGAGCAAACATTTACATGATATATCCCCAATTCTTATGCATTTCATTTTGAATCAGAAACTGAACTTTTTCCTGATGCCAAAAAGAATGAGTGAATGAACACTCTTTATAACACAATCAGCAATATTCCACAGCTATATCACATCAGATATGGATGAAAAACACCTCAAACTGTCTAAGAATATTGCTTAGATATTTACCAGAGCATCAAACAGAGCATCCTCCACATCAGAGCCAGGCCGCAGCAATCGCTGGGCCATAACTGCACCTGGATCACAAAACATCACAACTGTATTCCATCACAAGAAGCACATGTCAACTACACTATTCACAATTTGCTAAGGATCAAATCATTGATTCAACAGAAAACTACGATGTGGGGTCACATTTGGTTCAAATATCGAAGCCTATTGTAAGCATGGATCCCAGTTTTCAGTATGTCACTGCATCTTGCGGATCCCATACCTGCTATTGACAGGTGTTGTGTACTTGTCAGTGACTCATTCCATGATTTGCAAAATGGTTGATTGGTGCCATGAAAACCATTTTTATGGTTACTCATGTATCAAGTGCATACGGTTAGCTTAAAGTGGCTGTCTGCCTAAAGAGGGGTTACCATATCATTATGTATCCAGTTCTAAATGGATACAATTTCAAATTATAAATCTACGTTTAAGTAAAGTAGCAATTTTTTGTGATCCTTAGCAAAGTGTGAGTAGTATACTAGTAATGACAGAATACCTACTGATATGTTTTGCACAAAGTAGAGTCAATGTTCAAAATTGGGGGCTGGGAACCAAGAAATTTGTTCCAATGATGTCAGAAATTTTAACTTGTAACATACATGGCATGGGACCCTTGTTTTTATGCCTAATTTCAACACTGGGAGCAGCACTGTCAACAACAAACTAAGGTAAACTTAAAAAGTCAAAATATGGAATTCAAGTTCAAATGGTGTAACTGCAGTTGTGACTTATTTCTTCTTCAAATGCAAAATTTTAAGAAAAAAATGTTTATATAAAGAAACACATTCTTCCCATGATCACAAACCTTTTGAGCCATGGCTAACTTTGCTTCCACTCAATCTTCTTTCCCGACCTGATAAGACACAATTTTCAATGATCAAATGCATGAAAACAGACATGTGTATAAGTTAATATTCGGAGAGGGTGGTCTGAACTGCTTTGATGAATAGTCTAGAAATATGAATAAGGAGGCAAAGAATAGGCTTCAAATATTCTATCCATATGGGCTACTGAAGATTCATTGAACTGGATGATCTTGTACGATGACTTGTAATTCACAGATCACAGAACCAGTGAAGGTAAAAGCTTTTTCAGCTTTGCATGTATGCTATTGGACTGAATGTTATTCAACATACCTCGGAGTTTCTGATATTAGTTTATATTTTTAAACCTCAAGTTCATATGAAATGATAGGTTTTCTCTAAATGCCTGCTGAGGGGATTTAGTTGAGAATCCCTATCCAAAAGCGTTTGTCCCTATTAAGTCATTTGTAAGTCCATGATGAAGTACAGCATTACGATGAGTTGTAAAGATGTGAACACTTTGTGGATCAGGGCCCAGACCATGGTGCCATAGACTTAAGGTACTTAGCTTATCTCCCATGAACACAGACTTAAGGTACTCTTAGCGCTAAGGTGACCATATCTCCCATACCTGAACATAGACTTAAGGTACTCTTAGCTCTAAGGTGACCATATCTCCCACACCTGAACACAGACTTAAGGTACTCTTAGCGCTAAGGTGACCATATCTCCCACACCTGAACAAAGACTTAAGGTACTCTTAGCTAAAGGTGACCATATCTCCCACACCTGAACATAGACTTAAGGTACTCTTAGCGCTAAGGTGAACAACCTGAGACTTAAGGTACTCTTAAGGTACTCTTAACGCTAAGGTGACCATATCTCCCACACCTGAACAAAGACTTAAGGTACTCTTAGCGCTAAGGTGACCATATCTCCCACACCTGAACACAGACTTAAGGTACTCTTAGTGCTAAGGTGACCATATCTCCCACACCTGAACACAGACTTAAGGTACTCTTATAAGGTGACCATATCTCCCACACCTGAACATAGACTTAAGGTACTCTTAGCTAAGGTACTCTATCTCCCACACCTGAACATAGACTTAAGGTAAGGTGGTGACCATATCTCCCACACCTGAACAAAGACTTAAGGTACTCTTAGCTAAGGTGACTTAGCTTTAAGGTATATCTCCCACACCTGAACATAGACTTAAGGACTTAAGGGTGACCATATCTCCCACACCTGAACACAGACTTACTCTTAGCGCTAAGGTGACCATATCTCCCACACCTGAACATAGACTTCTTAGGTGACCATCTCCCACACCTGAACACAGACTTAAGGTACCTGAACACAGACTAAGGTTATTCTAAGGTTATTCTGTACAAAAGCACCCTGGACATGATCCATAGATATCAGAACATTCTGGATGACAAGCTGAGACACTCTAATCCAGATATTCCTTCGTTCAAAAAAGTTAAACAAGACGCTGTGACAATGGAAGTAGATCTGACCGTATGTATGTCTGTTGGGACTCCCCTCCCTGCTGGTGCCCTGACTCCGGGGGATGCCGGACTTCCGGGGACGACCCGAAGCCATGGGGTCAACACGACCTGAGTTGTGGGTGATGTAGCCAAGTCGGGACGATGGAGAGCCAGACCGACTGTTAGCTGTTTAACAGACAATCAAGTACTCTATACATGAAGACATCAAAATAATTAGTTGTGACATCAATCATAGATCACATCATAAAGAGTTTAACCAAGTTTGGATGGTTTATTATCATTCTTGATCTATATTTTACAAAATTTCCAAAAAGAGAACCATGAACAAAATCCTTAAGTTCAGTTTTTATATATTCAAGAATTACATACAAATGAAAAAATTTGCAAAGCTGAAGTCAAGCAAGCTGCCTTATGATAATTGCATGGAACAGGCTTAACATTGTATTGTGTCTTTTTGGATAACAGACAATTGTTTAAAATATTGAATTGGAGGATACACAATGAATAAAAAAATGTCACACAGCTGAAAATGCATACAGCAGCTCTGGTCCTGGCAGAAATAAAGACGAGCAATGCTACCCACATGGGCGTAACAGGATGCCACCAATGAAATGTTAAAGTGAGATGAGGTGTTGGACGTACGTCCACATTAATGATGAACAATGTTATGTGGGACACACATGTCAGTATAGTTACACAATAATACTGTGAAGTTAAATATGCCTGAACGGTTAACAGTTGTGAAAACTGATTAACTCAATATGTTAGCAAACATACATATGTTCATGGTGTAAGGATATATAATCTTCACATTTTCAAGCATTCTGCATTTCCAAGATATATATTTTCTGTTGCATATATCAACACCCAACCAGTATATTTTTTAAAGGCTGGATTTGTCCTAAATTTAAACAAATACAAACAAAATAATTTTGGCTAAGATTTCAAAATTTCGAAAAATAAATTCACAAAAGTGGTAGAATTTTATTTTTAAAAAATATTTTGTTCTTATTTCTTCAAATAAATAAAAAAAATAAAAAAAATGGTATTGGGTCTTCTAAATGTAAAAAATGTTACCTTGGAAATGCGGAAGTTGTCGAGTCAACAATTGTAAGTCTTAATATATACATATGTATAGTCATACCTAAAGCACATAGCTGAAAAAACATGCTCAAAAGAAACGGAGTAATATCGCTGATATCACATAAATAAAACTACAGTAAACACTGAGCAATATTGTTGCAAATCTTTCAAACTCATGCATAGGAAAATTCATGCTGAATATATTCACATCATTAATTGTCTCATATCAATCACTCATTCCTGAAATGAGAATATGTTGTTAATAATGTATCTACTCAAATGTAACTACAAATGGAAGAGTCAGTCTGTTGGAAAAGGTTTCAAGAAAAGTACAATGGCTGGTTCAGAACAGGTCAATGAGATGTTGGTGGAGAATGACTGCAATGCTGGACAAACACTCCAAAAGGAAACATTGCCAATACTGTCCACTCACATTAGGGACAGCAGAAATGGATTTGGGAAACATCAGAGGGCCATATTTCCTCGAAGAATAAACACAGATGTCTTAAAGAGTTATTTCCCTTGGTTTGTGTTTTGGACCACAGTCTTAATATGGGAACATATTAGTTTGAGGTTTTGTTTTGTTTTTTTTTGCGAGCAGGGATTGGGGGTTACAGCAACTTTTCACACGTTTTAAAATGATCGTTGAAATGATTTTAGGGTAGCACAGATATACAGATACATGTACAACACATTAATACATTACTGACATTTATTTCATCAGTGTTAATCATAATGTACAAGCAGAATGATAATTGTAATGACAGGATGTTTGAAATGGACATTCTACTTTTCATCAGTGTTGATACATGAACCCAACTATTGTAAATGAAGGAAATGATGAAAGCATGGGATTTGTGCTGAATGATTGAGAGTTATCTTCCCTTACGGTCACCCAACCTAAGCTCCTCACAGTGACAGATAGATTGTGGAGTTCTATCACTGCCACCAGACACAGCTCTGCATTGGGCTCAACAGCCTTCACCATACACAAGGCATGTACTCCCAACTACTGACTTGTTTCCGAACAAGTTCTGACCAAGTACTCCTCCAACCACTGAATGCTCAATTTGAATTTATATTTAATTTCAGTTATCATGTAATTAGTGAAGTGAGCATGCAGCAGGAAGTTGGGTGCTTTTCTGTAAGTTTGAAATCTGAAACCAACCCAACTGAGATTATAGACAAAAAATTGTAACCTTATCCTTTAAATGGCAAGACGAATGTAAACCCTTACACATTCTTTTGAATAGCAATCGAAAAGCCAAACACAAAAATATAGATGTAACTACATTTGAGGCTTCAGATTTTCAGGATTCTAACAATGTCCGTTTGTATTTCTGGTGGCAGTGATGATAGAGAGGGTAACGAAGGTGTCACTAATTGGGAAGGTACATGTACTTGTCCAAATGCTATCCATAGACAGTAGCCATATCATTTAGCAGACTTGTTTGCTCTTATGAGAATGAAAGGACATAAGATATTGAAAGTTTCAGTGAAGTGGAAACCCCATGAAAAGTAAGTTAAAGGAGTCACTTTTAGGAGATTAGAACAGTAATTCAGTTATATGACATGTTCAAATGTGTTAAGAAAGCACAAGAAGACAGCTCAGAAAGACGGACTTAGTGAGCTGCTTTAATGCCGCTTTCAGCACCATGACAATGATATCAAGGCACATCAAGAAACAGGTCATTTTCCACTTTGGTGTAACCCTGACAAACACCAGATGATAACCTTGATGAAATCTGGGATCAAACCCATGATCAGCGGATCCTGGCAAACAAGGGATGCAACTGCACAGCATATGTCAACTGATCATGGGAACTGAAGACTGATGCACCAGATGTTGACTGAGTATCAGATGTAGTAATGAATATTGCATCAGAAAAACTTGGAATGATGCATCATATGTTGAATAAATGACAGAATGAGGTTGTAGATGAAGAATAAATGATTGAATGATGTAAATGACAAAATGAATGATGCAGATGATGAAAGTAATGATGCACATGATGATGCAGATGATAAAAGTGATGATGCAGATGATGAAAGTAATGATGCACATGATGATGCAGATGATAAAAGTAATGATGCACATGATGATGCAGATGATAAAAGTGATGATGCAGATGATGATGAAAGTGATGATGCAGATGATAAAAGTGATGATGCAGATGATGATGAAAGTAATGATGCAGATGACAAAAGTGATGATGCAGATGATGAAAATGATGCAGATGATGAAAGTAATGATGCAGATGATGACGAAATTCATTATGTCGATTATGAAATGAATGTTGCAATAAGTGATGAATAAACAAAAGAAGCAGCAGGTGATGAAAAACGAGTGAATGATGAAGAAATGGATGAATGATGCTGTAATGCTGAATCCTGTTTCCAGAGAAGTCTACAAGACACTAGAAGGAGATAGTCGGCATGTCATAGAACATGCTTTAGTAGGTATCCGAGGGGGCAACCACACGTCCCCCTCTCCCATGCAGCTAGTTCACAGCACCTAGTTACACCAACCTAAATATCTACCACAGGAGTCAAGGTCAATCTCCTTGGGCTGGTGCAAAACACTGACAATGAAATGTATACCAAATCTACTTCAATCAGACCTTTTATCCATCACTGAACATGTTTCTGTTGCCTACAGAAAATAATTTATGCAACTATTCAATGGGCATAAAAAGAGTCTCACGCATGAAGGATCTCAACATACTCCCGAGGTCTAAATATGTGGACACAAAAGATGGGGTCTTATTGTACAGCATGATGGATTCCGACATTCTAAAGATTCAGATGTAAACATCCACCTGCCCACAACTGTGTCAGAGCAGTATTAACGCAGTACTAACACATCCAAAGCATTATTAACAAACTAATCAACAAGGGTCTGATTGAGGGTGACTAAATTTGCTGATCATTTCATTGCCAGTGTTTCCACTCAGATATGGTATTGTTGTAGTTCTCAGTCTCCTCATGCTAACAGTATAGAGTGGTGTCCCCTGATCTAATGCCATGCTACTGTTACTCACGCTGAGACTGAGAGACACCTATCCTGGAGCGAGATCGGCTGCGATCAGGAGTCACAAGACTTGTGACCGTTTTACTACTCATGCTGCTAGACTTCTGACGAGCTGTAATGAAAACTGGCACTTTCATACATGTCCGCTCCAGGTCGGCGGGACCCATGCTGGAAAAAAGTCTGTTAATCCCTGCTATGTTGGAACTTGATCTTAACATTCTAACACTATTTAGTTCTGAAACATTTCACAAGGACATAATCTTATTCCACTGCTAAAACGAAATGCTCAGGTTTTCTTTAACCTTTTTTGCATTTAAGTTTATATTTAACACATCTGACAAAAAGTAATTATTTATTCAAAAGAACCTTCTTTCACCTCCTTTTTAAATGTATTTAGGTGATGATGATCAAAGTTTACAAGCAAGGGTACAAATATCCCCTTACCTACTCTCCCTATTACTTTCAGCATCATGATACTACCAAGCTTGAGTTTACAAGACCAGGAAAGGCATTAGTTAATTATCATTAAGAACTATTACTCAGTACTACCCACAATAACAGTGAGTGAGTGAGCATGGTTTTACGCCGCTTTGAGCAATATTCCAGCAATATCACGGCGGGGTAAACCAGAAATGGGCCTCACACATTGTACCCATGTGAGAAATCGAACCCGGGTCTTCTGCATGACGAGTCAACGCTTTAACCACAAGGCTACCCCCCACCGCCCCACCCCACCCCCACCCCACCCACAATAATAAACATACCCTACCTTCATCATCATCGTCATCATCAGTGGGCAGGGGATTGCTACTGATGTACTGTACATACGGGAAAATCGAGAAGTGAACATGATTCCTCATTTTAGTCCCTGTGGAATTATCACTGCGTGAAGGAATCATCCCGTTCTGGTAGTCCCCCACAGCCATCTGCCTCGCCCTGGCCTCCCCCGTTCCAGCCAAGGTGTTCATCTACCCCTGATTATATGTGCACAGACAGCCTGCTACCCGGCTGTGAGTCACTCAAGCTTTTATTGGGAGATATACAATGACTAGCTAAACGTAAGGTCATGTTGATTTCAATACAGTTTATAATAAGCAGCCCTATTGGCAGTGTACCATACACTAAGTGTACAGCTACCAACAGCTGAGCGTCTCACTGCATGAAAGTCTCTTTACTCTATACCCAGCCTATGGTCACTTTGCAGACTTGTCTCAATACGTACTAGCATGTACACACTTAACTACATGTTAGGGAATATCAACAGTCTACCCTCTATGAATAGATATTATTATATATACTGCTCTAAAAACATTAGGGGCCACAAATTCTTTCATATTACTATTCTTAATCAGTCATGGCATATTATAGTTAATCTGGCATGCTATATTACTATACTTTATATATCATGGCATATTACGATAGTTAATCAGTCATTCTTTGACAGATTTATCAATAGAAAATTACAGAATTGGGTAGCCCTAACATCTGGGTAGCATAGCTATATTAAAATGTTTAGCTTTTGAAAGCAATTCACTTATTTAACAGTTTCAAACATACAAATTTAAACAACATTCACAACTTATTTATTCGATATGTTCCTGGATGCATTTTGAGAGCCATATCGATTTTCAGAACACCTCAGGTTCTTAGCGACCTTAAAATGTTACAATCCCTACGAAGTAATAACCCCACGTTTATCCCTATCTAAGGGTATGTATTACAAAATCAAACAGAATAATTGCAGCAATGCGCAAGTTTCAAGTAGAACACTATGAAAATAGAATGTACACTTATGTATCATGTCGGTTAACAAGTAGGTATTCACAGATATCTCTTCCCAACAGCCTGGACCATAAAAAAACTTCAATCACTTCATATTCAGACGGAGCAATCACTTCTATTGCTGAGCTGTGTTTACCTCAAGTGGGGTATGTTTATACAGGGCTTCCACAGTGTAGGGGTGTGAATATGTACGATAATATCTCCTACAGGTATTGTCCATGTCCTTTGAGAGACAAGCATTACGTTAACATCATAACCCTTCATACAGCCAAGTGCTTTCATGCACCTTGTACAAACGTAGTGCTGGCAAACAGGTCAACAGTCATCAGTATCACATTAAACTACAAGGCGTGAAAATACACGAGCTTTACGTCAATACATTTCCCATGTTAGTTTACTGCTGGTTTCGAAAGGCTGGGAATGATATAGACGTATCTGGTTATATATAGACACACGATTTATGTCATACCAGTGATTCATGCCATTACGAATATATTTAATTGTCCTGAAATTCTAAGATATCAGGTTCGCTAATACAAAATTATCTGCATTGATAAATGGATAATTCAAATATATAAAGATACACGATTTATGTCATACGAATGTTACTACAAATCTATTCAACTGTCCCAAAATTCTAAAATGTCTGGATTGCTAATACAAAATTAACTGCATTGATAAATGGATAATTGAAATATATATAGATACACGATTTATGGCTTACCAACGCTATTACAAGTATATTTAACTGTCATGAAATTCTAAGATAAGTGAATTGCTAAAATAAAGTTTACCTGTATTAATAAACGAATAATTCAAATAAATACATATCTTGAATGAAGCGTGATTAAGATGCATTTGGAATGCTTGCAATATTGGAACATTCTTGAGCTCAGAAAACGGAAGGATGCTCGTTTTGTTCATGATAGTTTACGCCATGCATTATCAGAACATGACCAAAGAAGTCCATGCCATTCTGTTGCCATTCATTTGGAAATCAGCCAATAGGGAACAGTTTTCATCCTTATTACCTTATCAGGTGTCCTTATGATCACTAATTAGGGATGATGACCTCAAGATCAAATTCTTTACTTGGGTATGTTTGAAACATTCCAGGGAAAAAAAAAAGATTCAGATCTTGAAAAAAGGTCATTATCCAGGATATTTGATGTTGGTTTGTATTCTTTATTCAACCACAAAGAAACGACATATCTAAAGTTCATTTGTGTGTGTATAACTGACTAGCCAAATGTCAAGGCTGAACAAATAGCTCATAGGGGGCCGGCCTGAGAACTGGACACCTGGGTCAGACAACCCCACAGTGTGATTCTCATCACCATCAACAAGTCTACCTCAGTCTCTGAAGTCATGCTCTTTTAACGCTAATTATTTCTCCCGAATTCATACCTGGACCATATCCATCATCTGGCTCCCTGCCAATGTATTTGTTCGCTAAGCTGATTATACACATATATGGGTTAAGTTACAATCCTAATAGGGTGTGCTTCATTAAACCTAGGTTATTCAGATTTATACAGTATGTGATTAACCTTATCACATCTACGCATTTGAATTTTTCAACATATCACGAATCATGGCTATTTATACTAGTCATATTTCATGTTGAATTTTCAGAAAACTTAGTTCTTAAATAATAGTTTGCTAAAGCTGAAAGTTAAAACATTTTTGAAAGAACATGTACAAAATACTGATGAAACAATACATATCTGAACAATATATTCATAAATGCAATCCATACATTCTGAATAATTATCACCTCACTGTACAATAACTAGCACAAGACACAACTTCAAATCTCCAATCATGTGCTACATCTGCTTCAGATCCATGTCTCCATCCCAGTCATATCATTAAAAAAACATACACCACAAACAGTCTATGTATTAGCAATGATAGCAGAACTACCTGAGATATTTTCATTTTTATCTGCCATTTCAGTGGAATCATTTTGTGATTTTATTGACAGAATCTGAAGCAAATACATCCCATGATATCGCAGACACATTCGTGATGCATGGGGACTTTGAAGTAGTTGTCTGGCAAGCTTCACACGTAACATAAGCTGGTATTGGTACAATAATAAACCAAAAGCTTAACAGCCAATGTAAACAACTGAAAAGTGGCAAAATACAACACAGTCAATCCTGTTGCATATACGGGGGTTGTGGATAAATCTCAATACACCGCATCTAGCTAGGATGATATATACATATCAACTACTTACAGGAGTCAAACTACGGTATATGGTAGAACTACGGATATTTCACAAATTCTATTTTGCGTGTTTGAGGTTTTGGTAAACTTTAATAATACATATTTATAACAGTGAAAACATGAAAATAATTATTTGATTTTAGAATTTTCAGTAATTAAAGAACTTGATTGGTTATACGAATAAAATATTTTCTTATCATTACAGGCGAATTTGTGAAAAGTCTAACGAGTAAATATAATATAATAATTAAGGCAGGAACCCTCTAAACCAGTTTTGAGGTAAATAGTATTAAATTACTACTTGGATAAAGATGGATACCAGAGAATATTTCAACAAAGGCATTTTAAAATGCATAAAGTTTATATTTCTTTTAATAGCAATGTGCAATGACTAAATAAACAACAACAGAAATCTTCATGAAAGTTATGCCTTTTTGAAAAGTTAACTTTCCACGAAGCTTCATTGAAATATCTCATGGTACTCCCAGTAATATCTATACCCACAAAGAAATTTGAAAGTAGGCTTTTGTAGATATATCCATTTGTAGATCATACTCATCTGAAAGGGTTTGGATAATTTCAAGTAATATTGGATGTAATATGAAGTAAAGATGGCCACTAATGATTGGAGAAAGGTTCTTGGGTTCTGTGTGTGATAACATGAAATGAAAGATTTAATATTCCAGAGAGATTGTTAGCTAGTCTGTTTCAAATTCATGCTAAGAATGTGGATGGATATAGACGCAAGTATAGTCAATATTTAGAAAAATCATTTCAAAAGAGTGACAAGGTTTGCCAGTTTTAGAAACATGTGGAAAAAAAGATTGAGAAAATTTGAACAGATTTGTAAAATGCAAAGAAATTATCAAAGAAGTCTGTGCAAGAAATGAACAAACGTGATACAAATGATTTGGAGTAAAATGATGAAATGATGAGTTTTCACCAAGAACCTTTGTACAATCATCCAGGCCTTGCCTCAGCTCCAAGTGTGGAGCAGGTGGGTTGTAAAAGGTTAGTGCTTACGCAGTGAGTTGGTAGATCCCTTTGCTAGCCTAGAGGCCATTAACATAGATGATGAACGAGGCTTCGTCGGGGAACCGTTTGTCCCGCTCAAATCCGCTGCGCTACTAGAACGAATAATCGTCTGAGCATAGGGAGACTGATAAGGTTTAGCTGCAACAGGATCAAAACGTGAAAATAATCGTGTCAAAACATATCAAGTGCACAAAAATTAATTTTGTCAATAAATATGGAGAAAACAGGACAGCAAGAGACAAGCATTCACATTTCCAGCAGCGTATTAGGGCCAAGCGGTCTAAGTACCTGAGGAGTCATGTGACTAGGTCATGTGACCCCTGTAATATGACCTTTCACCTGCTGCTTACCTGCTGCTCGACGAATGTCAAGGTCGACTTCAAAATCCGAGTCTGGTGCGATGATAAGAAAAAGGCTTTATACAAAAACATGGACAGGCTGTATCACATAATGGGCAACTCTGCTGATTCTTTGCCAAACGATATCGGGAAACATTCCCTTTAAACGTTTCTGACCTAAAATGTCCGGGGGTAAAATATCCTAATTATGAAGTTTTACAATGACTTGGAGTGTTTCTGATGTATAAGGTGGATGGTGCATATATTAAAACTCAAATACACACATTCACACGATTTACTGAAAATCATCTCAATAAGCTCATAGCAAATGAGGAAACACAGCAAAGGGGCATCAAACAAATTATACGAAAACAGGCAAATGTTGCTAACAGCAGAATAACACCATTTTGTGACATAGAATGCGTACCAACCATGTGTCCACTTTCAAATCATTCTGACTTCTTCAGACCAAATCTAAAAGCAAGTTGACTAACTCCATTTGTCTTAATTGCACAATACAAGAATGTAAAATCTTCTTTCCAAATATATGATAGTTTAATTTTATCTTCACAACACCATCCATAACCACTATTATTTGTATCCAAATATTTAAAATTGATGAGTGTATTCTATTTGCAAAAATTATTACTGACTTATATTCGGAGATTATTACATTTTTCCATTCATGAACAAAACAAAAACTGTGATTTACAGAACAATACCAAAAACTTTTGGCCTTAACTGAATCCCTTGTTTTCACATACAAAAGTCAATTAAAAGAAATCTATTAATAAAAACCCAGTTAATCCAACCACATTATGACAAAACAACTTAAATAATCCTCAAAATCCCCCAAATTTAATCATAAATTTCAGCCCTCCTAGCTCCTGAGAAAAATGACTCCCCTTTAATTGCAATGCATATTTTCATACAGCAATGATTTGTCAGTGTACAGCAGATGGTCATGTTGCTCTATAAACACACTGTAATTTGCCATGCGGGCGTAGCGCAGAAATAAGACAAACAGCAAATCGGGAAAAAACTGCCAGTTAATGAGTGAAATGGCCGAAAAATTCAATATGAACATGAAGATGATTCAGGGTTTGAGAGCTACTCCCGCAGTCGAGACAAGCAGGAATGTCTTCACACAATGGCAGCAGACGCAAGCCAAAAGTCACACGTTACGAAGCAGCAAGAACTTCTATTACGTTTTCGTAAACTGACATCATATACAATTTTGCACATATTGATACAACAATGAACACTTACAGTGTATTCAATACATTGTCAAACAAATAATACCACCACCAAAACAAAAGACACGTGGGTGCAGTTGAAAAAACAAATCAAACTGAAACCAAATTGAAACGTGATTGTTTGTTGTTTTTTATATTTTTGTGCGTGTGTCTCTAGTTGTTTTAGTGGTTGCCCATCGCGAGGATGTAAAGTGCGTATCGAAGGTTACCTCCACCTGCATCGCTGCGAGATGAGCTGATTCGAGCTGCTCCTGAACGTCGAGTACTCGCAGTTCGACTGAAATAAAAAAAATGTTTCATAAAACAAAACATTTAACCTTTTGCTGCAAAATATGAATAAGAAGATGACAGAATTGAATTTGTGAGTCGATGAGACAAGTCATGATTTACACTTCAGTCAAAAGATTTGTAGTTACCATGGTAGCCTGTGAATTTGGGTCAGAGAAACCAATGGGTGAAAGCATGAGCACAGAAAAAACACTCAAATTTCAACAGCCAGACAAGAAAAAATGTATTCCTGAAAGATTTTAAGACAAGCACATGATACCATGGTCCTTTGCAATTTTATTTACCATCTGAAACTTAACACCGTGAAATGTTGTGCATGTCTTCCCTGAGAGCTGATCCCAACATACCTGAGTGTTCCACTGTCTGTTCTGTCTGTACTGTGGGAGCGTGGTCGGGCCTTTGCAGCCACCTTGAGAGTGTCGCGGTCGCTGTTGAGGGAGTTGTTGCTGGAGGAGTTGCTGAGTTCTCCCTGCAGCATCTTCTGTTTGGAAGAGTCGAGGGTGTTGAGGAGGGCGTCTGCCTGGTCCCGGAAGTGTTCAGCAAAGCCCCAGAAACCTCTGCCATAAAACAACATCATTACTAAGCAATAACATTAAAGCATTTCTTTATCAATAAGTCAATCAATCAAATCATTAAGCACTGTTGGCTGTTTCACTATCTACGTATACCAGTTCTTTCATCACAAGACGATGATCCCACAACATATACTTGCTTGGTAGTGATAATCAGTGAGTGGATGGAGTTTAGCCATATTCCAGCAATATTACGGTGGGGAAACAAAGAATGGGCTCCACATATTGTGAGAGAGTGAGTGAGTCAGTCTAGTTTTAGAGAGCTTTCAGCAAAATTCCAGCAATATCACGGCGGGAGACACCAGAAATGGACTCCACACACTGCACCCATGTGGGGAATAAAACCCAGGTCTTCAATGTGACAAGCAAATGCTTTTACCACTGGGCTATCCCACCACCTCCACTTATCATCACATGAGGAGAGTCAAGCCAAACCCTTCATCCACTTGGCTATCCACTGCCTCACAAAGGAACAAGAATGAGACTTACTTTCTGGAGAAAGCCCTGGCTTCGGAGTCTGCATCACTGATGCCCCTCTTGATGCAGTCCTGGAGGATGGCGATGTGTTTCTCCAGACTGTGGGTCGGCCAGGTGTGCAGCAGTTGGTTCAGGAACTCACATGTGTATCTAGGGAGACAGAAACAAAATCTAGCACTCAGGGAACATAAATCACAAAAGATGATATCTTTAGTCTGCAATAAGTAAGAAAGATTTTAGGCCACTTTTAGCAATATTCTGCCAACATCATGTCGCGGGACACAAATTAGTTTCGCTCATTGTAGCCTTGTGAGGAATCGATCTCAGGTCTTCGGCATGACAAGCAATCACTTTTACCATAAGGCCACATTACAGCCCCTCTGCTTTAAGATCCAAGGATATTTCTAAAGATGCATCTGATAACTTACAGGTCCCTTGATTCAAGTTCAGTAGCAACAAGTCTAATTTCATAAAGATCATATCTTTTAGTCCAGTATAAGTTCAGTTCTGATATTAAACAGATTTTCAGGAAGCTATTGAGCTCTGCCTCACTGCCTGTGGTTTTCAAGACATTTCACAACTGGCAGCACATATATACGTCATAGATGAATCATAAAAACAAGGTAAAAATATCGGTTTGGGGATCTTTGGCAAAACATTGAGTTAGTCAATTTTTCTCCAAGGTGGGGTAAAATAATCTAAGTAATGAAAAATACTCTGGAGAATTCTACACTGTGGATAATTATTAGCATCTCCTGAATTTCTTTTGAAAAGGAAAATTTATAAAATGTACAAAAGATACATTTGTGGTATTTAAGCTAACTCTGTAACACTGGTAAAAAAGTTGTCATCCACTGTAGTTCTCACCTCCTTATGACGTTGGACTTGGAAGAGAAGGTGCCGGTAATGATTGGAATTAGGCGGGAAGAGTGGGAAAACTGAAACAGACCATACTCATGTTGCAATAAACATGTCTATGAGGTTATGTGAAATAGTGTTTATGATGCATTCACTTACATAGCACCAGAAAACGTCAACAGAAAAATGGTTTCACTCCAAAACAAATACTGGTCAGACTCACTAAATTGATGAATGAAAGTATATTGTTTAAAGAAAACACAAACTGACACAATCAGAAAACAGTTGAACAAGATAAATCTTCATTTAAAAAATATATAATCCAACTACACAATTTAATAACTGCCACAAAAATAAATTCGAGCAAAATACGTTCCTATCTGCTGTGTTCTGACAGGCAAGCAGATCTGGCGTGTGACTAAGCCAGCATGAGTTATCTCCCCTTACCTGTATGATAAACCTGATGCAGACGATGCCTGACGTGGACATGACTTTGGCACCGTTGGGGATGAGATTGAAGAGATGAGGAAACAGGGACTCGTACAGATGGTCGGCCTTGTGGCCTAACGACTTGGCCAGGTAACTGTGGAGAGGAGAGGGACAAATTATTCCACTAACAATGATATAATCTGTTCCATTATCATGATGTAACAATTTACGATTAAAGACCTAAAAATACAGAAAAGAATTATATATGGGAATGACAAAAATGTTCAAAATTCTTGCATTTACTTCATATTTTACTCATGGCACCTAAAAGAATCAAGTGTTTTCGCCAAAGTGTACATGTACATTTGTACAAATGAATGGAATGGAATGGAAAGGAAATATTATTCATATCAAATGCTGGACAAAGATTAACCTTATTTCGTTCAATCTCATATCCCTTGTTTCATAAGATCTTGATTTAGGATTTAGGCTGGTGGCAGACATTGGTGATATGGCAAAGATATTATGGCAGCACAATCTGCTCAAATAAATACGAAGAATGAAACAATGTCTCGCGTGATGAATGAGCTTGTTTTACTCACGCCACTGTGATGCAGGCCTCTCTGACCACCTGAGATCGGAGGTCCTTGATGGCAAGCATAAAGCAAGGTTCAAGTGTCCGCAGCAATTGGAAGAAGTCGTCATACTCGGCTGCTCCGTTTACTATCAGGGCTCGAAGTTGCCTCATCTGAAAAGGATCAACGTCACAGATTATGATTTAGGAAAGAGAACAACTTGTCTAAATCGTTGATAACCATGGAAAACGCAATGCCTAGATGAAATCATAACAAGAATTTGGTTGATTTTGAAGATTTCATGATAGCAAATGAATAGGTTCAGCTGTTAGTTTGTTGATTAACACTTTGCTCAGTCGATCAACCTAGTAAGTGAGTCTGACCATCCGATCATGTCAGTTGTGTCTAACGGTGATCAATTCTAACCAGGATATTTATGGGTGTTTTAACAATAATCGGGTGATATCACGTCACCAAGAATACGTTCAACAGACCAATGGGAAGACCATGGCCTTCAGTGTAACAAGTCAACACTTTAATCACTTAAGCACATCAATATTAGAGACTTCCAACAAATCAGTTTCCTAACAAACAACAGAAAAGCTTCATATTTCACTGACAAAAAACGACAGTATGACAACCTAAATTCAGCAATTCAGTTAAGATCTTCAGACTCATACTCACAGAATCATTTCTTTTCTCCCAGTCATTGCTGGGGTCATTTAGGACAGCTTCGATCTTCTTGATGTTGTCCTGCAGATCTCTCGCTGAGTACATCTGGAAGGAAGATCAACAGTTAAACAATAGAACCAGAGAGTGATTTTCAAAATAACAGTTATATCTCAGCAAGTTGGCACAATGTGGGAGGGAAATCATAAAAAGAGATGTTGGTCTGAGGTTTACCACTTTGCATGAGAACAATCCAGGGTTAGATATAGACACAAAAAATGAACCTACTGATACTTTCGGAACATCTTCAAAAGACTTGATGAAGAGTTCCTCATCGACACCGCCAGACACAGATGTTGCTGAAGAAGATAAGTTAGTTATGTAGATGGCAATTCAATCTTCAAGATCAACATATCAAAATAAAAAGATTGAGTACAACGAGAAGATCAATATCTAACAGAAGAATAACCTAGAAGAACTTGACGAGTTCCCTGAAATGATGACTGGTGATACTTGTCCTTGATTGAAACAGATTACACATTTTCATTAAACAATCACAGGATAAATTTCCTGATCTGTTTTACATATCTACTTTTTTTACTTTTAATTTTTTAAATATTTTTTTCAAATATAGCTGAGAACATGCAAAGTTCTTATCACAAAACATGCAAACTATGAAATTATTAAACATCTTCCAGAAGACACATCAAAACAAGTATCTACATTGCATTTTCATCACTTATAGGAACAGGATTCAACACATCAAACAATATCACACAATACCATGTAACTTATTCAAGTGACCTTTGCCAATGTATGCTTTTCAGGTCTTATGATAAGTCACAATCCATTTAAAAATGTCAAATATTTGAAAAACACTAAAAGTATAAAAGATAAAAAACCACTTCAACCTCATTTTTAACCAAAAAATCAGACAGACAACTGGATCAGAAAAACACTTTGCACTTCAGATGAACACACACCACACAAATTGAAAACCTGAATAATGTAATCCACAGATCTTCAGAGATTTAATGACAGTACATCATGAACCCAGATGATCTGAGTAGGAGATAAATCAAACACTTTTCAGAACTACACTAGAATCTACAATGATCTCGGGTGCAGTGTCCAAGCCATTGACTCTACTCTGGCGTAGCATGTCATACATTTGGAATGATGTATTGAAGCAAGCACACAGCTTTAAACAATGGACAAACATTTACATTTTAATCCAACTTCATCCTAAATTAGGTCAATCCTATCATACGTGATGTCATGCAGTTATGTATTGATGAATGACATCTTTACAGGTTTACTTTCATTTGTAAGTGAGTTAGTATGGTTTTACTTTGCTTTTAGCCATATATATACATAGTGGTGGTCATAACCCTTGAAAAACGGGTTCTCAAGTATGAAGAATGAACGTCACAACAGAACTACCCTTCCAGTAGGTCACATGCTGCTGACGGCCTATGTCGACATAATATTCCTATCTGATATAACACTAGACTAACGCTTTGTCTCAAAAACTTTATAACTGCAAAGAGTGAGTGAGTGAGCGAATATGCTTTTACGCTGCTTCCAGAAGGTCACTGCTGCAGACGGCCTGTGTTGAGTGAGTGAGTGACTTCAGTTGTATGCTGCTTTCAGCAATATTCCAGCAACATCACGGCGGGGGACACCAGAAATTGGTTTCACACATTGTACCCATGTGGGGAATCAATCCCGGGTCTTCGGTGTGACGAGCAGACACTTTAAACAATGGGCTACCCCACCGTCCCACTTCGATTTGTGAAATTTTGGACCTAATTCATAGCAGGAACACAAGGGATGGGCTTGAAACATTGTCCCATGAAGGGCACCAAACCCGGTCTTTGACATGATAAGCAAACACTTCTACCATTTGACTACATCTCAGCATCATAGGCAAACATCCATGCCATGTTGGCACGAGGAAAGTCACTACTTCAAGAGAGTGTATTCAGCTTGATATGGCTTTGAACTCATATGAGTTATATCAACCCAGGAGGAAAGCTCAGTGTTACCCAGGTTTCAGATATTGACAACTTTAATGGAAGCAGAAACCAACACGCTGAGCATGGTGCTGACAAACCTGGAAACACAACTGGGCCAACTCGGGATTCAAACCCACAATCTGCACAGTGGCACTTCAGGCGACACCTACACTCATTACCAACAGGTGACTAGTTGCCTGTTATGACAAGCATGAAGAAGTCAGGATCTGTTCTGACCCCAATTCCCTTAGAACCACGTTTCAGATAAGTGCAGATAGGTTTACACTTGTTCAGCAATATCTTGGTGTCCGGTAAATACTTGACTCTGAGAGCTGATCAGTCAGCCATGTTATTGGACATGATGACAGCCAGGCATACAAAGAAGCAATCTTTCCCCACTTGGCTTTTGCCACAACAAACAGGTACTCTCCATTCTATTGAACTAGTGTCCCAGAAATTTATGTATCATATATTGTGTTTTTATTTGGCTACACTCTGTACTTGGACACAATGGACAGGGATAACATTTCAGACTGTCTGTTATAACTGAGGTCAAGCAGTACACCCTTGTTATCAACACCTCTGTTTTGTAGGAAAGGACTCACTAAACCCAGCAGCCACTATCACAATGAATTGGATCACAGGACTGACTGACTGACTGAGTTTGGTTTTACGCGCTTTTAGCAATATTGCAGCAACATCACGGCGGGGGACACCAGAAATGGGCTTCACACTGGATCACAGGAAGAGTGAGTGAGTGAGTGAGTGAGTGAGTGAGTGAGTGAGTGAGTGAGTGAGTGAGTGAGTGAGTGAGTGAGTGAGTGAGTGAGTGAGTGAGTGAGTGAGTGAGTGAGTGAGTGAGTGAGTGAGTGAGTGAGTGGTGAGTGAGTGAGTGAGTGAGTGAGTGGTGAGTGAGTGAGTGAGTGAGGAGTGAGTGAGGAGGAGTGAGTGAGTGAGTGAGTGAGTGAGTGAGTGAGTGAGTGAGTGAGTGAGTGAGTGAGTGAGTGAGTGAGTGAGTGAGTGAGTGAGTGAGTGAGTGAGTGAGTGAGGTTTTTAGCAATATTCCAGCAATGGGCTTCACACATTGTACGCATGTGGGGAATCAAACTCAGATCTTTAGCGTTCATGAGCGAGCACTTTAACCACTGGGCTACCCCACTGCCCATACAGGAAGAGACTCGGACACTGCACCCAAGAACAAATACACCCATCCTCAAAACAAAATCACCCATCCACACGAAAATAATGCCCATTCTATTTCTTCTCAAACGATGCACCATTTCACTGAAGCACCAATAGAGGTAGAAGACTGACATCCATTACTGAAGGTAGACGACTGGAAGGCAGCATAAACAGGGATTTTGGAGCTAATTTACCTGATCCTGAGCGTTTCCGTTTATACGCTAGTTGGGCAGCTAGTAAGGAAATGAGAAACACAGTGAAAGCAACAGAAAGAGGTAGAGAGAAAACGTCATTTCAAACAATCCCTTGTTGTCCTAGATTGGGAGGAACCTGATTATGACAATCAGATGATTACTCGATCTGACTGCACATCTTTTTACATGGTATTTGGGACACTAGAAGAAACACTGGGTTTGATGCCCAGAAGGAAATAGTCTGAACTCAGTTATATTTAAAAGGACATAGGGATTGCATGGACAGACAGAGCAGAAAGATTAGATAAAGCTTGGATCATCTTTGGAATATCTACAATGTTGTCATGATCTGTTGGATGGATCGGTTAAGTTGATTTTTAACAATATATCAGACAGTGAATATCAATATATCACAGACAAGTGACATATGACCACTATACAGATATGTAAAAAATCCAATAAAATTTAATTAATAACAGCATAAACAAAGATACTATTTCAAGCAATGTCCAGCATAATCATCAAAATCACTTTCCTATAGTCCATTTCACAAATTCTCAAAGGCTAAGGCAATCATACGATCAGATTAAATTTCCCAAATTCTGGATTCTTTTTCCGGAACACACATAATCACGAGGACTGACCCATGGATTAGTGGTCTCAAGAGCATCAGTTCAGTCACCAGAGAAGATCCCCAGTGGTCCTATCTAACCCTACATATGAGTTGCTGCATAAATTTATGACAACATTATAGAAACAAGCTGCGGGGAAAGTGTCAAAAACACATGAAGCTGATGAGTTTTACTGTTATTGAAATTCTGTGGAACAATTTTCAATTAAACTAAACCTGAAGACAAGACACATTTAAAGGAAACACCTAACAACTTCCTGGTTCTTGAGCCAGTACTGTCTTTGAGATGATCACTGCAACTTTGCATAGTTAAGTTAGTATCAGAACAAAGTTGTTACTGTCTAAGTGTTTACATTTTACAGGAAAAGAAATTTGAATTCAATTTTTTTTAGTCGAAGTTAATTTAAGCAAGGCCAGGCAAATTGAGAAATAGAACAGAAGGAATGTTACATATCTAAATATTTTTTACAAAACATTTCATACAAGCAAAGCAAAGGTTGTGACAGCTTTCTATCCAAGTTATTTCACTGTTATTCATAAGCGATGAACATTAAGTGCTGTGATGACTGCAGGATAAATATCACTGTAAGCAGGTTCGTGTATGATGCTATCTGTCTACCGAAACTATCTTCAGCCTTGATTGTAAAAACTGCTTTTCCTGAGCAGAAATAACAGACCTGAAAAATGGCTTTGCAGTACAAGAACCTGGACCCCATTCCACAAAGCAATCGTAGCTCTACGACCGTCGTAAGTCTATGTTAATGTATGGGAGTTACGGGGCCCTAGTCTGCACGAAGAAATCTTAGTGCTAAGATGGTCTTAACTATTTTAACATTGACTTTTGACAGTTTTAGCACTAAGACCCTTTTGAGAAAGCAGTCGTTTTCTGTGTATAAAGTGAGGCTTTGTTGTAAATGTAGTTGCTAGTAGGCTATAGTAGACTTACATGTCCCACTGCCCTTGGCCGATGTGATGCCCTTTCTTCCCAAAGTCCCGGTGCTGGGGATTGGCCGCTTTGTGTGCAGCACTTTTGAGGTCATGGGCTTGGCGAAGTCTGTCTCATCTTCACTTCGGTCACTCCGAGATGGAGCTGGAATCAAATGAAAAATTATGAGGATTTGGAAAAACATTTTTGAGCACACACTCATGAGATAATCTACCAGTGAAATCTCCGCAGGTGCTGAAACATGAAGTGGGAATCAAATACTAATTTCTGGACGTCAGATATTTAGATATTCAAACTGTTTGGTAAGAAATAATTTGTTAACTGTATAATAACGATCAAAACAATGAAATGCATTAGACCAAGACACTCAAATCCTTGCCTCACATGTATCGATACAAACTGATACACATATAAATGTCTGGAAACACTTTCAAGTAGAAAGGAAAAGGGCAAATATTGCAATCGCAATGAGAACAAGTTAAAACCAAATATTAGGATATGATTATTCACTTTGATGACATATGTAGATACGGTTCAATAACATTCAAATGTTCTGAGTGTTTGTGTATCTTCTAAATTCTTTGTCAACTAAGCGTAAAAATTTAGGAGTCATCATGACTCCCTGGTGTCATGAGATGGAGTCATGGACATGGTTTTGGGAGTCAACTTCAGGTTGGAACTTTCATCAAGACATCAACTGTGATTGTTTAATTACGACAAAAAACAAGGTAAGGCAGGTCAGGTATTAAATCAGAATTGAGCTGTTAACTGGCAAACATTTAGTGTTAGAAGTTTAGATTATCTTGATGGTGACGCATGTTTCTAAATTCACTGCATATTTGAGATAATTAGTGCGTCAAATATGCAGGTTTTCTGCATCATGGCAAATACTGATTCAGAGTGGCAAAAGATATGGATCGCTGATATGTACCGAAATTGGTTCCCAGCAATATGATCTCCATGGACCGCATTAAAAAAGCCCCATTGTTGTCAAGGTTACTGACATAAATAATTACATTGCTCACATCACAACCTTACCATTATGTAGTATATTGTGTTATTACAAACTGCATCAGTTCACCCAAAGCAATAATTATTAGATGACAAATCATACCGCACTTGACAAACCCTTTCCAAACACTACAATCACAATATATGTAGTCAATTAAAAAATCATTAAATGGCAGATATGCTGAAGTAAGGTTGACCCACAAAAGGGAACAACCCAACCTCTACACTGATCCATAAACACCTAAAACACACGTAGAACAGGCCACACAGGTAAATTCTTCATATCCACAAATCTTACACGAGCTGCAGGTATCCATTTCATTCCAGTCATCCATGGCATGTATTTAAACTCCAATTTAAACCTCCATGTTTTTGTAAGGTAAGAAAGCAAAGCTGTGAGATGGCTTCCTCCAACACCTAGAGGGCTTGCCAGAATCTAGGGCAGTCACTCCGTCAGAGAAATAAAGGGATGACAACACGCATAGCAACCTCATCAGTCACCATTAACCAACTCGTTGACAATCAGATCACAACACCACAGCCTGTGATTACTGATCAACTTATTCCGTATGTCGTCACTGTGTATTCATACAAACATGGAATGTCATTTTTATCTGATAACATGAAGATAAACATCCTGTATGTATACGCATCACATTAAGCTGATCTCACCTGGATTTTATCAGCGTTATTTACAAAATCAGGACATTACCGTGTCAATGCAATTTCACACATATTATGAAGGTAACAACAGAACCATGGTGAGACAGAAACTGTTGCTGTTACTGCCATGTGTGGAGCCTGTCTCCGACTTTGGCTGGAGCTGGAACCCTTACTTGCACTATGGCAACAGTCAGTTATGCTACAATTAATATGAAGGTGACACTGAAGATGACTCAAGAATTGGTCTTCAGAAATTATGCATGAAAAGGGCCCATGAAATAGCGTTAATCTTGAAAATTACAGATTTGACTAATATACCAGCAAATCTTCAAGAAACGTGAATACCCCTAACTTACAAACACTGCAGACTCTAGGAGAGCTATTAATCATGACCTTTGAAAGCAGGTTTTGCTGAAAAACATCAAAGCTGAAGATTGCTGAAGGCAACAGTGTCACAAGTACTCCTTTTCAGTCACCAGGGATCAAGAGAAAAACTCAGTTGTGACAAATAGTTTAATTTCTAAATATTAATAATCTGACTTTTCATAAAAGAGTGAGTTTAGTTTTATGCCACTATTAGCAATAATCCAGCAATATCATGGAATTGAACCACAGCCTTTGACATGTAGCTTTTTAACTCCAAGTCTAAACTGCTGCTAAATTCATATGATTCTTGGTCGCTACCATCGGTGTTATGCTATCAATGAATAGTTTGTCCCGTGAGTACGTCTACACACACAAACAGTACAACATGTTAACCCTCAAAATGTGTGTAGAGTCCACCGCCGTTAAGTCACTTCATTACTCATCAGTGAATGTGTGCGATATCATAGCCATGTGTGTGTGCAGGTGTGCTGTACATCGATCTGCTGTGTCAGAATGGCATGGGTTAAGATGATAGCCCAGTCATCCACCTTCGACCAGGAACCCTGTGAGGTCTGAAACCCAAGGCAAGATGTCTGGAAGGAGGATTCCATGCTTGTCTTGATGTATTTAACAAGAATGCACAGGCTGCATAAAGAGTACACTTATCTGTGTTGATAGGTAAAGGTCATATGTGTCTATCTGTTCCTTATGCATCTGAGCTGTGCTGAATAAACAAGTGTGTGGACTGGCCAGTGAGTGAGTGAGTGAGAGAGTGAGCGAGAGCGAGAGAGAGAGAGAGCACATAATCACCATAACAAGTAATTAGAAAAAGATTTTTCAGTAGTTTTCTTCTTGTTTATTGACTCAGCTTTTCTGTAAAATACTTTCTTTACACAAGACCATATACTAAGACAATTATATAGTATACAGGCACTAAAGTAGAATTATCCCCAAAAAGACTTTTGCAGTGACTTCTCTGTGGAACAACTATAGATATAGCCATTTTTGGTTGCCTGAAAATACACTTGTCAAGCTGTGAAGGATAATTGAGCATTGCGTCTTAAAGTTACTTCATCAAAGTATATATGGGAGCCAAGCCTCAGCTTTTCACAAGATCTACCCCTTTCTTCCAAGGTCTGGAGATGTCACCACGTTCGTTCCCCACCCAGTCAACCCCGTCATCATGGCACCGCTGTGTGTTGAGACTATACGACATATGTGGTGAGACTACATGACGTATACATCTGTGCTGGTCTCTGGCTACACACACCATCCTAGCAGTGTGACCAAGTCAAAGGCAGGTCTACATGTCAGGCCCAACATTGTGTGCAGACTTATTAGTATATGGATGTTGACGGTCTATACACTGAGGGTACTGTCAGGGCCTACACCAAGCTTTTCAATAGGAGCATGAGATAATGGATGTCTTACTGATGGCTTGTTCACATGTTTTGGGCAAGGTGAAATGTAAATGTAAATGGGTGTTGAAGATCAATCTCAGAGCATGATAGTTAAGCAGAGGGTAGGTCTGAGTACTATCATGATTAGTACTTAGAGAGTTTGTCAAGAGTCAGTCTAAGAAATATATTAGTACATAAAAGGGACAGTAAAGAGTGAGCCTAAGCACTATCATTGTCAGTACACAGAGGATTCAGCTGAGGGTCAGACTAAGCACTATCCCAATCCCTACATAAAGGATGGAAACAAACAGTCAGTACTTTCCTTGTCAGTTACCAAAAGGTCTAAGTTGTGGTCCAGTCTAAGTACTATGCCTATCAGAACACAAAGGGTTAAGTCGAAGGTCAGTCTAAGCACTAAGCTGAGGGTCATTCTAAGCATTATTGCAGTCGGTACATAAAGAGTTAAGCCTAGGGTCAGACTAAGCACTAAGCTGAGGGTCAGACTAAGCATTATTGCACTCGGTACATAAAGAGTTAAGCCTAGGGTCAGTCTAAACATTATCACATTGGTACATAAAGGGTTAAGTGACCGTCTGCTGCCTGCACCATGGCACATTCCGGCAGCAGTACATCTGGCAGCCCCGGGTGAGGAATGCTGCTGCTACCGGTCCCTACACAACAGTAAATATACCTACACCATACCCACTGTTGGAACTCGTTTGTCACAGACTTGATGACATTGTCAGGAACTCATGCAGTGTATTTCTTTCATGACGGCATAAAAACAAACTTTTTATCACACAGAGAATTGAGACTGGTATACATGAAATATAGTTCAGCACCTCCCCAGGTGTATCCAATATGTGGCACACAATCCATGTCATCATACAATGTCACGACAACACTTGGTAGCACTGTTTAAAGAAAGAGTGAGTGAGTGTGGTTTTACACCGCTTTTAGCAATATTTCAGCAATATCACGGCGGGGACACCAGAAATGTGTTTCGCACATTGTACCCAACATAACAAAGAAGGAACATATTCTACTCAAAAGAAATTAAGAAACAGATTTTTTCAGTTGATCCATCGTGTCATGTAAGTAATATGAAAAAAACTTGATGTTCATTAACTTCTTTTGGGTAACTTAGAACGAAAAGCTGCATGAACATTTTTAGCTACTTGGTTGACTGTTTTGTATATTTGCACTACAGAAAACAAATCCTGACATGTTATCAAAACCATAACAAGCTTAAAGAATTGTGGAGAGAATATGTGCAAGATAAAGTATGTAAATAGATTAACCCTTAGCTAAAAGCAAGGAAATAATTGGTAACAGGCAACCATTTTCTTTCCTCAGAAATGAGTTCCTTCCAGAAAAGATGCAAAACTGCAAGGGTTAACCGTAGCGATGTCAACATGAACTGTATAGATACATTCCACTTACATCCCAGCTGGTTCAACATGTGCTCCAACCAAGGTTTTTTCACACACGCGCAGAAATGCATCTATGCATGTGCAAAATGCACCTCACTACGTCTGCACTGGTGAAATATTCCTTAGAATAAAAATAACTTAGAAACCCAATCCCCAAATCAATCTGTGATAATACAGATGCTTGTCATCCATCTTATAATGTCCATAGTGTTGCATCACACAATGATAAGTATAATCATAGTACATGTATTCCAAATGGAGATACACGGAA